CAAGATGAGTCACGGATGGTGGCTACTAAGGAAACTTTTACCAATAGACACCAGAGCACCACAGGAGACTTAGGAAGGACATCAGGCACACAGAGAAATTGTCCATGAGAAATGGCCATGAGCATGCAAAGAGCAAGGGCAACCAGTGGAGGAACCTGGGACTGAGTGCCGTGCTACCCAGGGTGCTCAGAGCCGGCCACCTGCAGGTGTGGCCTAGGAAGCCAGGCTGGGCCGCTGTTGCTGAGACTGGTCCAAGGGAGTGGGAGGTCGCTGGTGATCCATGCAGTGGCTGGGGCAGTGCCTGCCAGCAGTGAGGAGAAACAGCATGACTGCCAACGAGGCTTCTCCCCTTCTGAAAGGCCGGAGCAACAGCCACGAGGGAGGCACTGAATGAGGTTTTGAGTATCAGCACAGAGGACAGCAGAAGTCAGTAGGTGATACCCAAAAGAGGAATGTATCATGTGGTCAGGAAGTCATAAAGATGTCAGTGGGGGGAGAGAGGTATCCAAGAGAGCCAGTGGTGGTGCAAGGTGCCAAAGAGGCAATGGAGTGTGGAGGTGTTACCAGAAACAGGCAAAAGCTGGTATGCTGGTATGGGGGCTAAAGTTCTCACCTTGAATGCGCCGGGATCCCATAAGGGCACCGCTTCTAATCCTGGCACTCCTGCTTCCCATCCAGCTCTCTGCTTGTGGCCTGGGAAAGCAGTGGAGGACAGCCCAAAGCCTTGGGACCCTGCACCTGTGTGGGAGACCTGGAAGAGCTCCTGGCTCCTGTCTTTGGACTGGCGCAGCACTGGCTGTTGTAGTCATTTGGGGAGTGAATCATTTAATGGAAGATCTTTCCCTCTGTCTCTCCTCCTCTCTGTATATCTGACTTTTCAATCAAAATAAATAAATCTTAAAAAAATAATAATAAGCTGGTATGGGGGCAGAAGAAAGGGGATCAGGATCCAAGCTGGGAGTGGAGGATAAGCAGAGATTGAAGATGGATGCCTTGTTGAATGAGGTGACTGCATGAGTTAGATCTGGCAGGGTTCAGAGCAGGTGGGCAGGATGGAGGGAGGTGGGAGCCCCGGTGAAGAGGGCCAACCCTTCTGGGCATCTGCCACTAGGACTGCAACTCTGCAGTGCTGGCTCCCTGAGCAGCTGCCTGACAGGCTATGCCCTCTTTCCAGTGGCGCCCTGGGGTCCTGCTGACTCCGGTCCCACAGGACAGCCGACTAGGGCGGAAGCACAGGAAGGCACAGAACTCAAGGTGTGAGGCCCATGGGCCACTGTGTCCTCCTAAGACTGTCTCATCACTCCAGCCAAGAACGCAGGATGGAGCCAGGATGCTGATCTCTGCCCTGGGACAGAGAGGGGGGCCCATCTCAGCCCTGCCTGGACCCCAGGACCTGTCGGCCACAGAGAGCGGGCGACAGGTGGAAGAAGGAGCATACTGGAGCGAAAGTGCCCCTTGCCCTTCTGGCACCATGGGCAACACCACCTGGACTCACAGAGTAGGTCTCCACGGCGAAGTGGGGCCGAGGGCTCTCGGGCGTGGATAGTGTGCCCACGATCTGGAAGGTGCCCTCTTTCAGCTTGGCCAGTGAGGTCTCCAGGACAGTCGACTTGCTCTCCTCCTCCTCTTCCTCTTCCTCTGTGACTTCCTCCAGGGAGGCCCCCACTACGCAGTTAGAGAGAAACTGCAAGAACACAGAAGTTCCAGGGTTACTAAGAGCGGATGAGGGGATGGGCAATCTGTGAGTGGTGATTCCTCAGGGGCTTGCAAGGCCCCACACAGGCCTATCTAGCACCCTGCGTGCTGTTGGCTCAGGTCAGCCCGTTCCTTCCCATGACAGCCCAGAGAAGTGAGTGCTAGCGGACTCCCAGGGTATAGACCACGAGCTCAGACTTAACGCCACCTCCCCACTCCACATCCACAGCCAAGACACTTGCCACAGAACTACAAAAATGCGAGGCTAGCCCCGGCAATTGGCTGCAGAGACACAGAGGGGAGAGCTGTGCTGGAAGAAGGAGGCAGGGGCTGGAGTGAGGGGCGCACTGGCCGAGAGCTGCCGAGGAGACGCCACTAGGCCCCAACCACATGGACTCGCTGCTCTCAGGGTTGTGTCCTTGACAATTCCGAGAGGATCAACCCTGCTGTCGGAAGTCATGGTGTGTGGGTGTGCAGCCCTAGGAAGCCCCCTGCATGTGCAGTGGACTGTGCCTCCCGCTAGCTCAAGCAGCTGGTGTTGTTAGTGGTTGGGGCCAGGTGTTCTTGCCTTGCGGGTGGAGCTGCTGCACTGTCCCTGCTCTGCATTTCCCACCGGCTCTCTGCTGATGGCCTGGGAAAGCAGTCCAGGACAGCCCAAAGCCTTGGGACCCTGCACCCACGTGGGAGACCTGAAGGAAGCTCCTGGCTCCTGGCTTCAGATTGGCTCAGCTCCAGCTATTGTAGGCCCTTGGGGAGTGAACCATCAGATGGAAGACCCTCTCTGTCTCTCCTCCTCTCTGTATAAATAAATCTTTAAAAAAAGGCTTACAATTAAAAAAAAAAAGGTGTAGTTACTGAGATCAGTGGGTGGGTTTTTCTCTAGCAAACCCGAGATGGTTTTCTTCAGTCAACTCAGCATTTTTAAACGAAGGGCACTAAAACGGAGCAGCCAGGTCCGTATCCACGCTCTCCAACGCGGGGGCTCCCAGGCGACAATATGCACACTCCTGGGTGCCCACCGGGGTGCCCTCAGGCCCTCGTTGGAACCGGGAGCCAAGGGCCGGGATCTCTCTGTGCCGCCGCAGCTCACCTTCCCTATATTTCTGCTGCTGTAGGTGTCCAGCAGGTTTATAAACACCCTCTGGATCCGAATGGTTTTCTCTGTAGGTGCCGTGGCTTCCTCTTCCTCAGCCATGGTGGGAGCCGCGCTGGTTGCCCAGGGCAGAGCGTCCGTTACCAAGGGGCGGGGCTCCAGGCTGGCGTCGGGTGGGCGGCGCTGCGCGCGGTCAGCTGCTGGACCCCCATGTCCGCCCGCCCCCGGGCTCGCCGCCTCTTTGGGTTTGTGCCGCAGGGGCCTTCACCTTACCCGGCAGAAGTCGGCGGAATGGGAACAGCTGACCTGAACTTTGCACTCTGATAGATGCGGGTGGTTCTCTCTGTCCCATACGCTCGCTGCCACCAGTTTCAATGTAAAATTACTCAGCAGAACCTGGTAGGACATTTTTTTTTTTTTTTAGCATCTTGTCGAATCATTTGTTGAAATATTTCAATATTCATACCTTACTTCCAGATATTGTCTGCATTCCCATATTAACTTGGAAAAGCTACTCCACGAGTCATGCTAAATCTGCCTTTCGTTGCAGCTTACACTAACGCAGGAGGCTGTGGTACCTCACATGACACGTTACCCCTTCACATGAACCTCTATCGTTACACCAACAGTATTTTTTTAACCTTGCTATTCCTTCCTGCTTTCATACGGGACAGCTTGCATTCCCACACTTTATGGGGATAGCTGCTGGACTGGGAGGGCCATGGTTCGCATTCAGCTCTGGCGGTCACGGGTGGGCTGCCAAGCACGTGTGTTCAAGCCATATTGTCCACACAGAGAGGCTGTGAGGGGAGCTGAGCGTGCTAGCTCCCAGGATCTATTCTTAGTACTGCTCTCCTTGCAACCATCACACAGCACATTTTGTTTTGCGATCCTGGAGAGTGAGGTGCAGTCTGTGATGGCAGCTGGTAAGTGCACCGTGGCCTGGGACCCACGAGGACTCCGGATGGAAGAGGTAGGAGAGGGTCCCTGGGGAGCGAGGTGTGTGCCCTTCTGTTGGCAGTCCTGCCAGGGCAGGCAGGACTCAGCAGCACCTGGTGCCTCTTCCAGTTCCCCAGCTAGTTTAAATCCTTCTATTGCATTTCCTCCTCTAATGGGCACATGCACGCGAACGCAGGAAATGCGAAGAAATGTCAAGAAAATGAAAACTATCTTACTAGCTGGTGATGACTTAACATTTTGCAACCTTTCATTGCATTTTCCTTCTGTTACGTAACATTTTTCAGAATACATCAGGGTATATGTAGTTTTTATGTCATAGTTTTTCATGTTGTGTAATTTTTCCCCATTGCCATTTTTCATCATTTTTAATGGTTTAATCATTTTTCCATGTAAAGGATTAATAGTATAACTCTGCACTTTTCAGAATCTTTCCTTTATTAGAAAACATGCATATCGTTGTAGTCCATCAGCTGGTGAGTCATTTCCCAAGTGCTAGTCCGGAAGTCACCGCAAGGCTGTTAACCACACTGGTCTCCCCGATGTGTCCTCCACCAGAATGTAACGGTGCCGCCATGAGGTCCTGGTGTTACATTTGAATAAATCACAACCTCATAGGACACGGCCGACTAAACTGTCCTCTTGAGTTACTTGTTCAAATGTTTTTCAAGTTGCTGTAGGATATCTTTATTTAAAATGAAAACACTTGTTTTACAAGTCACAGAATCTCCCCCACACTGGTTAACACTGTTCAAATGCCAACGGCTGAAGCAGCAGCCAGGAACTCGGTGCCAACAAGGAGCCTCCTGCAGGAGCCAGCACGGCTGCAGAGGAGCCGGGACTCGAATCCAGGCACTGCAGTATGGGACGTGGATTTGGCAAGTGCCATCCCAACTTGCTCTATAAGTTGCTGGGTCAGTAATACTGTCCACTATTCTCACTTTAAAAATGGAATTGTAAGAATGATAAAGATTTTATCTTTTTTTAAGAAAAAATCAAGGCTCACTCATCTAGTTAACTTCTTTCACAGTAGCAGGTGCAGATGGAGGCTTTCTGATCCGGGGACTCGTCGTGCCTGTGAAGTTCCAGCCATGTGATTCCTTCGCCCTGTGCGTTCACAGTCATAACCAGAGCAACCCACTTCGCTCTCCTCCAAGCACAATGCGACATGACATTATTCAAAACCGGAAACACAAGCCCTTGGGGTCAGCTGCTTATCACAAAGCGAACAACACCAGCTCTCAACACTCCACACTTAAAGTGAGTAAACAGAACTTTATTCAAAATTTACAAATATCATTTACAGTTAGCCTGAGATTAAGCATGAGAAAGTTTAACCTGAAGTTCGACTTCATTGCTCAAACAGCAAAGCATCTGAAAATAACGTGGAGAATGAACATGCATCATCAAACATAATTAAAGCATCCCAATTACGTTTGACAATGACGAATGACGCAAACGGAACTCCACCTTGCTCTGGTGCACATGATCTTGAGCCCACCACGATCTACACCGTGACCAAGTGATGAGATGCAGGCTCTGGACATTCCTACAGCAGCTGCCTTCGGGCACTGTTAGAAAAACGACTCTCCAGTGCTCCTTGTCAATCATGGACTTGAGAACATGCAGCAGCATGGTAGAGTGTATAAATATCAAGTTCCTGTAATAAAATAGAAAATACAGAGTATCCCTTTTTCAAATTGTAAGTCTCTGAATGTTCCATTCGTCCTTTGGTTTCAAACCCATACAATGCGTTCCTGTGACATCGTCCATTTAGCAGAGACAGCACTGTGCATCGGGGGAGGGGTGCAGGAATACCAAAGCACACTGTACAAAGTAAATGTGGAAGCAAAAATACTTTCTGAATATTTAAACTGTACATCGTGTAAACAAACATTCGGAATAAGAACCAACACAGGCCAAAATATTGGTTTTTTTTTTTTTTTTTTTAGGAAACCAGAAATTTCTTTCTTCTAAATCACACACGCGGAAGATATTTGCTGTTAAGAAAAGGAATGGGGCCTGTTCCCGCACTCACTCATGTGCTTAGATATCTTGGGGATGAGAAGTTACTACATTCATTGGTGAACGGTCTGTCCTTGGCTGAGTTGGCTGGCTGTTGCAAACAAGGAACACGGAACTAGCTCAGTCCCTGTTCTTCCTTTAATACTAGTTAAATAACACAGAATCAATTCCTCTTTATTCATCCATATTAGTAATATGAATACATTAAGTGAAGCAGTGAATTTCAAAATTTGTGCAGGGAAAACTAGTTGATTATTCGTTTCCAATAAGGCCAGTAGCAAGATAATTACTATAGTCAGTCCAAGCTAGTTGTAAGCCCCCGATTCGGCAGGCTGCATCCAATCTGAAGTTAAATCACTGCATTTCTACCTTACTGTGCAAATCTAGAAGCTCCTACGCTAGGAGCGCTGGCAGCGTCAAAGCCCTGTCGTACAGATTGCAACACTGATTAGGTTTTGAAGTGCCGAGATATCATATGAAGAAAACCCGACGTCTTCTGTAGCGATGGCCTCAGAATTCTTATAACCAATCAGAAGCTTGGAGAATTCATTAGTCAGTAATGTTCTGAGCCAAACACCTAAATTTGAAGCAAGTGATAAAGACACCAAAACAAAGATGCGTCTGCTACAATGACCCTAGGCGCGCCTTTCACGCTCCTGGGCAGCGTCCTGCACCAGCCGCCCCTCGTCAGGACTGTCCATCCCTCTGCAAGGCTTCCAGTCTCTGCAGGAGCGCGTTGCCAAATGCGTCCCGGTAGGCGGGGCTGAGCGTGTCCAGCAGGGAGTAGACCGTCTCGTAGTAGGGGGTCTGCAAATGATCTTCCACCTGGTCAAAAGCATACCCTACCACCTGCAAGGGAAGTGCAGCCGTGAGTGAAGGGCCCAGGCTTTGTCGCGGCACAGAGGGCATGCCAGGTGTTCCCACAGTCACTCCCTCGTGGTCTGACTTCGCAACAGTCAGAATACCCGTGTCATGAATACAACTTCGAGTGCGGAAGCATACGACACACAACACAGGGCTTGACTTGCCCCCTCTAACTGCTAAAAGGAATGCAGAGAATTTTTAAGAACTACATAAAATGGTATTTCATTTTCAGACTCTAAAACATGCTTTTTTTTTTTTTACATACTGTTTAATTCCACATATACTGAGATCCATTACAGTAAAATACCATAATAGATACTACGTTATTGTTCACATTTTTATCATTATTTAGTTTGGTCTCTTTTTGTAATAGAAGTTATTCCTGAAAAATTTAGGTTTAGTAATAATTTATTAGTTTTAATAATGCTTAGTTATCAGCTATTTTAAATAACTGCTTAATTTACTATTATAATCTGAAAGGCCAGTTTCATCTAGTTTATCTGATAGGAAAAAAAAGCTCAATGCTCTGAGACAAGATGCCTCTGCTTTTTCTCTCTGTAAACGTCGTTAACACTTTCTCAAATAAAACCGTAAGATACATCGTGGTTCACCAGTGTAGTTTAGGGCAAATGTAATTTTTGTTGACTTGCTAAAGTCTGCAAACCCTACATTTTTACAGAAAATGCATGTCTATATGGAAACAGAAGCTGAGTCTTTTCCTAATGAGCAGAGAGGCAGACACTGGAGGACAGATGGCACCCCCGGGGAATGCCAGCCCTGCATGGTGCCCAGGTGGGCAGCACTGAGGTTTGATTTCCATCGGGTGGCAGGGGAATTATTCCATAAATGTCTGCTCAGTCAGACTCCTGCGTGCCAGGGCGGCTTAAGAGTGACCCACACCTGTCGTCAGTTTATGTAATTCTCCTCCACGTCCTTTGTCAGCTTTCCGTCTCCTGGGACTCAGAGGGCACACCGACTTACCTAAGATCACTCACACGAAGACCTCCAACCATCATAAAGTTACTGAGCCTTAGCAGAGCCATCCTAGAGTTAAGACAGGATTCACTTGGGGCCAGGTTCCTATTTTGACTTGCCTATTTATGTTGGAGATCCCATTTCTCAATATTACAGTTTTTAGATTTGGAAAGAAGTGATAAACATTAGTCCACATGCTAGTTGCAGAAGAAGGCAAGCAGCTGCATGGACGCTGGGAAGGAATGGACGCCAGCACTGCATTTTCCTGTCCCAGACTACACAGCACACGACTTGCAAGGGCACGGGTCTGGTAGACAGAGTTCAAGCGCGGGTTTAACGTGTTATCACCTGACAGTCTCACCTGCCAGGCCTTGCCCTGTATCCCATCACTGTGGGTAACTAACTACTTAAAGAAATGTGATTAACATGTTACTACTTGTATATACACATATATATTTTAATGGGGGGAAGTACAACACTTGAAACGTTTGTACAGCACAGACTTCTCAACTTTGTCTGCAGTCTCCCAGCTTTCCCCTCCCGGTTCCCCACAGAGCATGTGCGACACTACAAGGTGAGCCCCATCATGGAACACAGAGCCCCATCACTTCTTCCTGCTGGGTTCTGGCACCCGCTAGCCTGTCTCCTGAGGGCTCCCTGTCCTAGCCCAGCCCAGCCCAGCCCAGCCATGGGGCACCACGAGGCTCAGCTCAAACTGAACTACTCAACAGACAAGGAAAGTCCAGATGTCTGACCGAGGGTACGGGTGGACAGATCAGTAGATGTAAGGCCAGACTCTTGCTTTCTAACTTCTGTCCCTTTGTTCGGGGTCAAGGACTTTGACAAGATCATGTTCAGGGCCTCCTTTACATGACAAGCTAAGCTCAGCACTCTGCTTAGGCCACGCAGGAAGGTCAGTGTGCCCGGAAGAGCGCCCTTGCGTGGAGCGACCTGTTAAGAAAGGGCTAATCAGACACCCTTCAGGTGGCGGGGGTGGAATGGGTGCTGTGACTTAATTCTAACTCTAGGGCTGGAACACAGCACAGGCCAGTCTACCGTCTTAATAAAGATGGAGAAGGGCTTTGCAACACAATGACTTCAAAACTCACTCGTTACAGAGAACATGTAACTTTGGTGGACACCTTTGGCTACAGATGAGAAGTTAGTTAGATTAAAAACAAATATTCTACAAATCAAATGCTTTGTTTTCAGTGAATTTAATTTCTTCACGTTGATCAAAAGGCTAATTCTGAGGGGGAAAAAACTGTTTTCCATGAGACAACTTTAGAAGTTGAATATTCAGTTCTGATTTAACACGGTTTTTTCTCTCCTCACCCTGCCCTGCTTTGTGATGAAGTGATACTGGGTATAGATTGTTTTTTCTAAGAAGAAAAGCGAGTTACCCTAAGCCCTGCCTCAGTGAGCTCCAGGCAGTATCTGCTCCTCTCCTTCGTCTCCACGTTGATGTAGGCCACGTCGTCGGCACAGCGCAGGCTTTTCGAGACGAACATGTTGTTGACAGCAAAGAGGACGTCGTTGACGACCGCGTCAGCCTCCAGCCTCATGTCTTTCATGTCGGCGCCTTCAAACCCATTGAGGTCGGAGCTGTCTTCAAAGCCCGACACGCTGCTGAGCTCCATGGGATTACAGTCTGTTTCCATTCTGCAAGAAGCAGACATCAGACGTGTGTGTAAGAAGACACCCAGAACACGGCCCACCACCTGCTAAGCCTTACCACTGCCCCTGAGGAGACTCCAGGGAGCTAACAGCCCTGGAGGAAACATTGTCCAAAACCTTTTCCAGTGGATCTTCAAGGAAAAATTTGGCATGTATGCATTTTCCCAACAGCAACAAAACATCCTCACTTCCCTGTTCACTCCTAAAATGTTGTATTACAGTGCTATGCATTTAAAATATTACAATTTTCAGCAATTTTAATCAACACTTCTTTAAAAAATACAAGTACAGATTTGTTTTTAAATGAGCAACTATTTCTCTGGGATGAACATTTAGAACTGAGCTGCTGAGTCCGAGGCTGTGTGGGTTCCCATCTCTGAGATGCCAGGTCGGCCTGGGGAAGCAGGCTGCCCTGACTCACATCCCACCAACAGCACAGGCAGGCTGCTATTTGGCTACAGATGAGAACACTCTTCTCCATTCTGAAAAACTGTTGACACTTTAGAAGGCACTCACTTAACTATGTATTTCTGGTGCTTAAGGATCTTTATAGCTCTCAGATGATACATCTGTGAAAAGCTGAAATGGAGGTGGACCCAGGTTGCCTCAAGTCAGCCCTTGCCTGCCACAGCCTAATGTGCACCTTGCCACGTACACCTGGGATTTTGCTTATAAAGGCCCTGCCCATCCCAGGACTACATTTATCTATCTACCTGTCTATTTATTTAAAGATTGCTTTTTTAAAAATTGGAAATGTAGATTTACAGAGAGAAGGAGATACAGAAAGACAAGTTCTTCTATCCAATGGTTCACTCCCTAAGTGGTTGCAATGGCCACAGCTGAGCTGATTTGAAGCCAGGAACCAGGAACTTCTTTCAGGTCTCCCAGGCCGGTGCAGGGTCCCAAGGCTTTGGACGGTCCTCCTCTGCTTTCCCAGGCTACAAGCAGGGAGTTGGATGCGAAGTGGGGCTACCGGGATACAAACTGTGGCCCATATGGGATCCTGATGCTTACAAGGCAAGGACTTAGCAACTGAGCCATCACACTGGGCTTGCTATGTTGTTTTTGCTTTTTTTTTTCCTCCCCTGTGGCTGAAGTTAAAAGGATTTTTCTGGAAGTAAGAAAAGTAAATAAGTGTGAAACTGTTTTTGAATGCGAAAAGGGCTTCCTTCCTAAGTAGTTTTTCACTCCTGTGTGCAGCCCAAGCCTGGGCTGTCCTGAATGCATTGCGACTCCTCATTTGTTTACAAATTCAACTAATATTAGTAAGCCATTTTAAAGGAGCTTTGATCATTTCCTTTTCTACTAATGTTAGCCTCTGTGAACATTTATTTTGATCATTTGCTACATTTCATCTTGCTTTCTGAAGTTACTAACTTGTACCTATTTATGATATTTGAAATTTTTTAAGTTAGAAGGTTTCTAACCTCAAACACTCACTAGAATCGCCTGGGAAGGCTTATGAAAATACAGACACGCTTGGGGCCAGGAATGTGCTACACTGAGTTACGCCTGAGCCTGTAGCGCTGGCATGCCACCTGGCCCTAGCTGAGAGTCCTGGCTGCTGCCTTTCTGATCCAGTCCCTGCTGGTGGCCTGGGAGGGCAGTGGAGGATGGCCCAAATGTGAGAGACCCGAGCAAGCTCCTGGCTCCTGAGCAGCCAAGTTCTGGTGGCTATAACTGTTTGGAAAATGAACCATAGGATGGTTCACTGGATCTCTTCTCTCAGTCTCTTTTTCTCTCTGTAACTTTGTCTTTCAAACAACAATAAATAAATCTTTAGGAAGAAAAATTACAGATGCCCTGGCCCCACTGAAGAGCTATGGATGTTTCCACAGAGCTTCCGAGTGCTTCCACTGAGTTACCAGCAAAAGTCCCCACTGCTCAGCACGTGCCCAAGGAGAACCACGCTACAGGTGACCGAGGACGGACCATGAAACGCTGTTTAAAAGCATTACACAGCACATATACAAACCTGCTCAGCTAATATTAATGCTGGGGGCAATCTGGTAATTATTTTTTTAAAAGAGATTTATGTATTTATTTGAAAGGCAGAGTTACAGCCAGGGAGAAAGACCTTTCTGGAGCTTTTTTCTGGGTGTCTCATGTAGGTGCAGGGAGGGGCTCAAACACTTTGGCCACCTTCTGTTGCTTTTCCACGTGCATCAGCATGGAGCTGGACGGCAGTGGAGTAGTAAGGACTGAAACTAGTGCCAATGTGGGATGCCAGTGTTATAGAGGGGAGCTTAACCTCAACACCACAACACTGGCCTGTGGTAACTAAAACCTAACACTGAATTATTGTATGTGAAAGTATATGATCTTCTAAAACCTTCCATTTTACTCTATACATAATCAGTGTGCCTGCTTATTATTTTTGATATGTCAGAATTGAGTCCATTCTTACAAAGTTGGTTTTAAAGATTCTGAAATGTGGCTGCCCATTCTTAAATCTATTTCACTTTAGTTATCAAGTGCCTCCATCACAGAAATCCTAAACAGTAATCATGACATGAAGAAAATGTTTCCTAAAGCCTTGTGAACTTCTCATTCAAAACCAGAAATTGTGAACGAGATTTTGAGGAAAGACTCAAAACAACAACAACAACAACAACAACACAACAAGAGTCTGGGGCTCTGCGTGGTAGCCTAGAAGCTACAGTCCTTGCCTTGAACCCGCAGGGACAGCCCAAAACCTCAAAACCTTGGGACCCTGCACCTGTGTGGGAGACTCAGAAGAAGCTCTTGGCTCCTGGCTTTGGATTAGCGCAGCTCTGGCCAACACAGCCATTGGGGAGTCAATCAGCAGACGGAAGATCTTCCTCTCTCTATATGTGACTTTTCAATTAAAAAAAAAAATCTTAAAAAAAATACAAGAACCAGTTCTTATTTCTATACAGTTTTGTAGAAAACAAGGATTGCTTGGCAGTATATTTAAATGAAGCACACTTGTATTCTTACCAACAACATACATCAAATCAATATTTAAAGAGATAGAAAGTAGAAAACCTCACTGCTTTGCCTGTAAACTTGAAATTGGTTCTCTCCCAGATTCTGAACAATATCCTGCCATCAGCACATTCCAAAACTGGAATCTGTGACACTTGCTGTCAGTTATTCTGATAGATTGCACCACCTTTTACATTTCCAACATTTTTAAAAACATCACGTTAATTATTTAGGAACCAGGTTTTTCTCCATCTGGTGGTATTATTGTACAGATGCGTTCCTCTTTTTGGAAGATGCATGAAGCTGGTTACTAAGATACTAAGATCATTTCACCTCTACTCAATTTACTAGATTCTGCTTTGCTTTATCACAAATTCACAGCATCAAACAGCTAGGGGAAAACCCCCAGCGTTCAGACTCTTTGGTGTCAGGAGAATGGGTATGCGGAGGGCCAGTCACACACACAGTCTGGCAGCAGAAGAGCACCAGGGGGAGGTCAGGAGCAGGACAGCGATCACAGAGCTCCATTTCGCAAATTGGACTCCAGGCAGCACGGTCGGCAGGGACGGTGAGCAGGGGCGGTCAGCAGGGACGGTGAGCAGGGGCGGTGAGCAGGGGCGGTGAGCAGGGACGGTGAGCAGGGACGGTGAGCAGGGGTGGTCAGCAGGGATGGTGAGCAGGGGCGGTTAGCAGGGACGGTGAGCAGGGACGGTCAGCAGGGACGGTGAGCAGGGGCGGTCAGCAGGGACGGTGAGCAGGGGCGTTCAGCAGGGACAGTGAGCAGGGACGGTCAGCAGGGGCTCCAAGGCGGTCTCTGCATGAGCTGGTCTATTCACATCACACTGCACAGCTGGGAAAGCCTCTCAGAAATGAGCAGCCTGGAACGGCTAGCACTGGGCCCCCAGCAAGACTGCTGGTGCTCAGCTCTCAGCTCTGACACTGTGTTACACTGTGAGCACACAAAAACCTTCCCTTCCTTAGAAAACAAGCCGACCTGCAGCTTCTTCCTTGAAGTACAAGAACTACATGAACAAATATACGGAAACAGTTACAGTGCTGGGCACACAGGTAAGTTCTATAAATACCATCTGTTCATCATTCCATATTTTTAAAAAACAAAGTATCTAAAAAGAAAAGGGCTGACCCTGAAGCTCAGCAGCCTGAGCCCACATTCAGCACGCCCGGGATTCTGCAGGGGGCTGCTGTCCTGCACTTTTCAGGAACACTGGGACTGGGCAGCCTTGGCCCCACATTCCTGGCACCTTAGATACAAATCCTAATGAGTTCAACAACATCCAACTTGCATTTCTCTTATTTCCTTCCTTCCTTTCTTTTCGTTAAAGACTTATTTATTTTTATCAGAAAGTCAGATATACAGAGAGGAGGAGAGGCAGAGAGGAAGATCTTCCTTCTGCTGATTCATTCCCCAAGTGGCCACATGGCCGGAGCTTAGCTCCGATCTGAACCCAGCTTCTTCTGTGTCTCCCATGTGGGGGGCAGGGTCCCAAGGCTTTAGACCATCCTCCGCTTTCCCAGGCCCCAAGCGCAGGGAGCTGGATGGGAAGTGGGGCCACAGGTACCTGAACAAACACCCGTATGGGATCCTGGCACACGCAAGGCAAGGATTTTAGCTGTTAGGCTCCAGCGCCGGGTCCCATTTCTCTTATTTTCTATGTTAACATCCATTTCCTTTAAGTATGATTGCTTGTGACATGACCTATTTAGCTTGTGCTGTACAGTGTCCGCTCTGTCAGACTCTACATGCCTGGGCGAGTATCCTCCTCTGCCTTCACCAATGCTGGGAGTTGACATCTCGTGGTAGATACACAAACACAGCACTTTGTGGGATGAGTCTGCATCCTGTGTGAGCTACAGGGACAAGAAGGGCTGGTCCCAGACCTGAATAATTATGCTGGGGACAGCGTGACGGTGCAGTGAGTCACACTGCAGACTGGCACGCTGGCATTCCATGTGAGTCCTGGTTCGAGTCCCACCTGCCCCTTTCGGATTCAGTTCCCTGCTAACGCATCTGGGAAAGTAGCAGCAGAGGGCCCCAAGAACTTGAGCCCCTGCTACCATGAGGGAGACCCAGATGGAGTTCCAGGCTCCTGGTCTGGTCTGGCCTTGGGCACTGCAGCCATATGGGGAGTCAACTAGCAGATAAAAAACCCCTGTCTCTTCCTCTTGGTTTGACTGCTCTTTAAAAAGACAAGTAAAGTAAAATCGTAAAAAAAAAAAAAAAAAAAAATTGATTTTTCCCTGAACAGCATAAGGAAACACATTTAACAATCTGAATGGAAAACATTAAAAATGACAAGAAATAAACAAACAAAAGACAATTTGAATGGAGAAAACATTCAATTTTTATTTTCCATTCTGATAAGTGAAACTGCAATCATTTTATGGATAGTTTGAAAATAATTCTATATTGCAAAAAAACATGATTTCTTAACAGTCACTGAAGTCCAAATGATACTAATGTGTGAGCAGTTCAAACTTTCTAAAGTCTACCCCAACTGCTTACCAGATGAGAGCCCACTTTTTATTTTACTTTTAAAAAAATTAAGTAATTTATTTGCAAGGCAGGACTACAGAGAGAAAGAGAGAGCCAGCTCTGCCATCTGCTGGTTCACTCCCCAATGGCTGCAGTGGCCAGGGCTGGGCCAGCCTGAGGTCAGGGAGCTAAGGCTCCATGTGGGTGTCAGGGGCTTGAGTCACCTGCTGCTGCCTTCCTGGTCACAACAGCAGGGAGCTGGATGAGAAGTGGAGCAGCAGGGACTTGAACCAGTGCCCACATGGAACACCGGCACTTTGCCACCATGCCACTTTTCATGATCATGTTCTGTATGAAGCCTGCTGCCTTCAACACACACCTAGAACTTCACACTTGTCACCAGTCTCACTGCTCCTGGGCCTGGGGTCTCAGAGGGTGTGTCCACTTGCTGCCCATCTCGCAGTTTATTGTCTGCACATACAGATGTGCTGGCACGCAAAGCCAGACCTTGCAGTTGCCAGGGCAACTTGGGGGCTTTGCCCGCTGCTTCTCTGTCCAGACCCAGCGAGTGGAAGGGTGCAGGCCGTGTTCCCAGAACAGGACTGGCAGTCAGTGAATACTGCCATCCTTTATCAGCCCAGACACCCTGGCCCCCTATGCCCCTCCCTCCTTCATGATTGTGAAAAAAGAAACAAGTCTGTAAAGAGCCCAAGCCATGTCCTGTCCAGCCAGGGTCCAGTCAGACACTCCACTTCCTCTTTTCCGTCGGGTAGCACCTTCCTAGCTTTGCTCTGAATAAAGGCTCTGCCAGGCTTGCACTTACTTCCTGGCTTGTCATTGCTATCCCAAGCTGATGAAATAGCCACTGAGCTCTGCTCTTGGCCTGAACCGCTAGTATCTTTTGCTTGCAACATCTTTCCAGCTGATCTGGGTGTGCCCACCTTTGGCCCTCTTACCCCCACCCCTGGCTCCCTCCACAGAGCAGTGAGGGCGAGCCTGCAACACTGAGGTCACTCCTCACACCCTCCCACTCAGCCAAAGTCCACGACCCTCCCGTGACCTCCCTTCTCCCCACCTGCCCTGTCTCGTCTCTATCTGCTGGACTGATTTCCGTTGAACTCCACGCATGCTCCGTTGACAGGGCCTTGCCCTTGCTGCCTGCACATCTGGCACGCACTCTGCCACACCTGTGTGCCTGGCTGCCCAGCCTTGCCCGTGTTAGCTGCAAGAAGGGCAAGCCTCTGGTCTTGCCCCCACAGCAGTTCCCTCCCCGGTTTGGGCTGCGGTTTATTCCTCCTCTCTCTTGTGAAAGCAGGGCTTTCCTGTTTGCCCGCTGTAGCCCACAGCACGCCATCAGAAGACGTTCACGGAATAAATGATGGAGAGCCCTTGCTCGCCACTTTGGAACACAAGCAAACTCCTGGAAGGTTCTGCCTGGTTCTTCCTACACGAGCCCCACAGGGGACTAACCGCGCATGCTTCCTCCTAACCAGCCCTTTCTCAATGAACAGTGAACAAGCGAACCGATGTTCCTGGGGATACCTGGGATACGTCCATCAAAAACAGGGGCACCGAGGGTCCAGGAGACCGCAGGGACAGGAGGACACGCTCGTCCTAAAGCCAAGAGCAGATCGTGGACAGACTAGCTCTCTCTCTGCACCTGCCAACACTCCAGGCATGACGCTGGCATGTCTAAGGCTCCCACGAAACTGTTACCAAGACCTACACAGGGTCTTCCAGCCCTTCAGCTGGTCGTCCCGACTCCTGCTATCCTAAAGCAGCTGCCTGTGTCACGACGCGCAGTCTCGTCCCCTACCTCTCAAGCCTTGGGTATGCGCTCGCCCTGGCGCAGCGGGCTCAGCGAGGGCCGTGGCCGGCTCAAGCACCGCACCCCGGCCGCAGCCGGCTCTGCCCCCGCAGACTGGGCCCCCTGGAAGGCGGAAAACACGCCTGCGCGGGTACCCGGGTGGGCACCACCGCTGGCCGCGGGAGCTCGGACATCCATCCGAGACCAGAGACCAGGAGGAACCCGGCGCCCCTGAGCAGCTTTGGGAGGGGGTGGGAGGCCCTGGCCGCGCGGGGCACGCTCCAGGGGCGCCCCCCAGTCCTCCGGGCAGAGCCAGCGGCGCTCCGAGCGCGGGGTCCGGGAGGACGCGGCCAGCTCAGGCCGGACACGCCCGGCCCCTCTTTCAGCCCTGGCGGCGGGCCCCTGCTGCCCGTCGCTGCTCGTGACCTGGTAGGCAGCAAGCCCCGTCCGGAGGACAGTTCTCCCGGCCTGCCCGCTCCCCAGAGCCCCCTCTCCGCTGCAGCACGCTCACCTGAGCTCGCCCGCGTCCTCCTCTTCCTCCCTCGGGAGGCCACCGGAGCCGGCTCGCGGCGCCGCCCCCTCGCAGCCGGAAGTGCTCCTGCCCCGGGCTCCTCTTCCCGCCTCCTCCGGCTCCCCGCCCCGGGCGTGTCGTCACTTCCGCCAGCTCCTGCGCCGTGCTGCGCGCGGAGCGCCTGGGGCTCGTGAACGCGCTGGGAGCGTCCCCGGGGCCGGGAGTGCGCCTCGTGGATGACAACAAACTGGTGGCGCGGCCTCCGAGGGCTTGTCTGCCTTGTCCCGTAGCGCTCCCTGGCGCTCCGACCGTCTCCGGTCCCGTAGGCGCCGTCTTCCCCTTCACGGGGACTGCTCCGCGCCTCGTCCCTGCCAGGCCTGGCCCCGGGGCGCTCGGCGCGGGCGATGGGGTCGCCCTGAGGGACGCCCGACGCCGAGCGGACATGCTGGGGCCGCCCCGGGCTTAGGCCGCGCGGCCTGGAGCCGGAGCCTGGGCCCCGAGGCCGGAGCCAGCGCCTCCTGCAACCGCCGCCGCCGGCGCGGGTGCCAGCCCTCGCCATGCCGTGGCCGTTTTCCGAGTCCATCAAGAAGAGGGCCTGTCGGTACCTCCTGCAGAGGTACCTGGGCCATTTCCTCCAGGAGAAGCTGAGCCTGGAGCAGCTCAGCCTGGACCTGTACCAGGGCACCGGGTCCCTCGCCCAGGTCCCCTTGGACAAATGGGTAAGAGCGAGCTCTCCTGCGTGCCTCCCCTGGGGAAGGTTTGAGGATCCAAGTGTGGTCCGGGCTCGGAGAAGCGTGTGTGTTTTGAATGGTGCACGTCACGTGTTCTAGAAACCCCACAGGTAGGATGGAGCTCGTGCTTTGGGGACGGGGTCTCGGAAGCAGGGCTCCGTCGCCCAGCGTTGCGGGAGGATGAAAGATGGAGAGGCACCCCTTGCGATGGCCAGGTCCCTAACTTGCTTATTTTGGGTTGGCTCTGTGCAGCCGGGATTTGTCGGTACAGCGTCTGACCCGGAAGAAAAGTTAATTTGCCGGCTGTCGTTTGAAGGGTATGTTTACCTGGGCAGCTCGCGTGCGTGTGTGTCCCCGGTGGTGCTGTTGAGTGGTGCCTCTGTGCCCGACGTGACGTAAAGGCAGGTGTTGCAATAAAACTGCCTTCCTCCGGCCATCCAGAGGCTGTGAGATGACGCTTTGTGTCTAGGTGTTTCGTGTGTGACACTGGGCCTGCATCCCTGCGTTCAGTGCTTTACTGTTCGTTTTGACAAGGGTGGGTAGCTTCTCCCCTTCCCTCAACCCTTTAATTCCTGAGCCGTAGAAAAGCTGAAGTTACTGGAACCCTGTTGTGCTGGAGACTTGGGGCTGCGCATGCAGTGGCCACACAGCTTACTGCGAACTAGGGAGGGTATGTGCGGATGGTGGAAAGTGCCTCGTGTTCAGTACAGAAAGATGCAGGCCCGGCGAGTCTAGGCTGCTGCTACTGTGCACAGTCGTTCACCTACGTGTAGTTAAGGTTCGTGGCATATTCCTGGAATGCTTTATCCGAGTTTGCTCTGCTGTCACTCCTGCCTCAAAGTAGGGATTTGGATGGACGTTTTTGCACGAACAGCCCAAGAGTCTATATTGTTGGTAAGGAGCAGATTATTTTGAAGGAGGGTGGCTGGATGCTTGTTAAATATTCGTTTTTAAAGATTGCGTGTCAGTCCTGTAAGGTGAGCATTCGTTCTGTTATAGATGGAATTCTGTAACTTGCCAGGGGTCCCAGGGCTTGTGTGCTGAGGATTAAAACCTATGGGCTGCCTAAGTTCCCGATTTTTTGCTTGTTTCTATCACGTGCCTTCAGGCCGAGAGAGGCAGTTAATGTTGGTGGAGTATCTATGGAAGCTAGGCTCACTCATTTGTGTAATCTTACTTCATCCCCAAGGAAATCAGAGATAGCTTGACTTCAGGACAGTTGGCAAAAATCAGTTGTGACGAAAGTGAATGTAGGGGTTGTTTTGTTCTCCAGGAGACGGTTCTGTCAGCTGCAAGTGTGACATCAGAGCATCCAGTCAGGGCAGCACTGGCTGTGGTGGATTGAGACTGCGCAGTCGTGGACAGGAGAATCCTGACCTGATGCTCAGTTGTGACTGTTCAAAGTTCTGCCACTACCTGCAGTTCCTTTGGACGCATGACTGAGGAAGGGTGTGAGCGGAGATTCCTACATCCTGATGGAATAATCGCTGGCTACATTGCTTCTGTTTCAGTTCTTAGCTGGCAGTTATGTGAAGCGAGAAGTGCTCTCAATATCCCGGTTTCTGATCTCAGTTGCTAATTAATTGGGAGGTGGTGTGTGTGTTTTTAGTCTGAAAAGCTGTTTTTTAAAACTGTCTAGAACACTTTTAAGTTGCCTGGAGTAGTCTCCATGCTGTCAAACGTTTTGTAACGTGTGTAGAAAAAGATTTTAATAAAAACTGACCTTTTTTTGGTCAAGTAGATACTGTTTCCATCGGCAAAATCTTGAAACAACATTTCCAAATACAGCTTTAAATAAATTTCCAAATATAGGTTTTCAAATTCTTCTTGTAGTTCAAGCTGTTATTTTTTTACTCATTCTTAAAGTGTTCCTTTACTTTGAAAAGGCAGATTAACTGTTTTTTTTTTGGGGGGGGGTGGCATCTGTTCAGTAACCTGTACTACTGATAATTGGTCCATAAATTCAATTTTTGTATATTAAACTCTAAAATATTCGGTAATAACAAAACCAGGAAGCCAGACTATTTTTGGTCATGCATTGTCTTACAGAGCTTCTGTTGGTTTTGGCATTCAGCGTGCTGGAATGGAGTCTAGCTGAGGGCACCTCTCTTAACACTTGCCTTTTGTGTAACTACATCCCATCTTTGTAGCAGTGCCAAGTACATTGCCAATGCTCATCAGTAATATTAAATACTGGTGTAATTTTTTCCCTCCAAAACTTATTCATTTAGTTGAAAGTTAGTTACACAGAGAGGAAGAGACGAAGATCATTCATCTGCTGATTCACTCCTCAGATTGGTGTAACAGCAAGGGCAGGGCCACCCTCCTTCCTGATTTCCCACATGGGTAGCAGCGGCTCAAACCCTTGAGCCATCCTCTGCTGCTTTCTCCAGGCCATCAGCAGGAAGTTGGATCTGAAATGGAGCAGCTGGGACTTGAACCGATGCCAGCATCATGGGGCAGTAGCTTCAAGTGCTGCACTGCAGTGCTGGTTCCCAGTGAAACTTTCTAATCTAGTTTTCTCTTCCATGCCTCTGAATGGCCTGCTATAGTCTTAAATACATCACACTCTGCTTGGAGAGCGCTATTTTAAACAGCTCTGGATAGAGGAGGGCAGGATTGAGGCAAGGGATTGAAAACTATTCCACTGTTACCACGGGCTGTCTTGCACTTTTGTTCCTTGTCTTTACAAGCAGTCAGAACTAAAATGTTGGAAGGAGTAATGTAAATTCTGTTTGAACAGGAAGTTGGATTTAATGATTCGGTCCTTTCCCACTGCCTAAGACCGTGACTGACTTTAAGTGGAAGTTCTTTCAAGAATTGATTTGGTGCATTTATTGAGCACTTAGCATGGCCAGTGCGTTCAGGAAGATAGACATTAGCACTTTCTTATTTTTTTTTGTATATTTATTTTTTATTGGAAAGGCAGATTTACAGAGTCAAGGAGAGACAGAGAGAAATATCTTCTGTCTGCTGGTCCACACCCCAAGTGGCTGCAACAGCTGGAGCTGAGCTGAGCCGATCTGAAGCCAGGAGCTTCTTCTGGTTCTCCCACATGGGTACAAGGTCCTAAGGCTTTGGACTGTCCTCAGCTGCTTTCCCATCCAGGCTGCAATGGGGAGCTGGATGGGAAGTGGAGCAGCCGGGATACAAACTGGCTCCCATATGGTATCCTGGTGAATGCAAGGCGAGGGCTCCAGCCACTAGGCTACCATGCCGGGGCAGACATAGCACTTTGTTACTCCGATCCCTTTTAAGAGCAGTTTAAGAATTGTCTTGATTACTACTTAGACCTCACTGATAGTTAAGCTTATCTTCAGTTCAGGAAACATTGATTACTAATTTTTTTGCCAGATACCGCAGTAGAGACTAGAACTTTGTCTTCATTTTCTCTGTCCTGGATGTAAAACTTGTTGATGGTGGTTGAGGAGGATATGGCTTTCAACAAGAGGGAAGCTCTGGAGGAATCCACGCTAGGGCAAGTATTGGCAGAGTGGTTCAAGTGGTACCACCTGCAGCTCAAGAGTTAGTGGCTCACATGGGGATATGCAGTGTCACAGTGACCAGAACGTTGTCGGGGTAGATAACAGGGAACCAGTTTGGCCAAGTAGCTTAAGATTTTTTTGTCCTACTTACACACTGCACTAGATCTTGGGTTTTCACAGTGTGATGAGTTTCAAAGTAATCTTGTGGCTTAGTGTTTTTTTTTTTTTTTTTTAAGATTTATCTATTTATTTGAAAAAGTTACAGGGAGAGATAGAGATCTTCTATCTGCTTGTTTTTGTTTATTTTTATTGGAAAGGCAGATATATAGAGACAAGGAGAGAAAGAAAAATCTTGCATCTGCTGGTTCACTCCCCAAGTGGCCACAACGGCTGGAGCTGAGCCAGTTAGGAGCCAAGAGCTTCTTCTGGTCTCCCACATGGGTACAGGATCCCAAGGCTTTGGGCTGTCCTCCACTGCTTTCCCAGGCCACAAGCAGGGAGCTGGATGGGAAGTGGACCAGTTGGGTTATGAACTGGTATACATATGGAATCCAGGCACATGCAAGACAAGGACTTTAGCCACTAGGCTACTGCGCCACCTCCTCCTTTTCTTTTTTAATTAATTTATTTTTAATTGGAAAGACAAATCCAAGAGGGAAGGAGAGATATAAAGAAAGATCTATTGTCCACTGGTTCACTGCCCAAGTGGCCTCAGTGACTGAAGCTGAGCCATTCCAAAGCCAGGAGGAGCCAGGAGCTTCTTCCAGGTCTCCCATGCAGGTGCAGGGTCCCAAGGCTTTGGGCCATCCTCGACTGCTTTCCCAGATCATAAGCAGGGAGCTGGATGGGAAGTGGAGTGTCTGGGACATGAACAGGTGCCATATGGGATCCTGGCATTGGCAAGGTAAGGATTTAGCTCCTGAGCCATTGCACCAGGCCCAGGCTCCTCTTTCTTATCTCTCCAGTGTTGGTGTTTCTTTGGGCTTTGATGAGGCCTCCTGTCATTTTACTCTGTAAGTTCCCAAAAGCTCTCTTCATCACTGTCACTTCAGTTATTCTCTGGTTTGTTACTTTGAGAGGGAGAGGGAACTCCCCTTCTACCTGTTCACTTCCTAAATGCATGCACTGAGTGAGGCTGGCTCAAGGCTGGAGCCAGGAGCAAGGAGCACAGCCCAGTTCACCCACAGTATTAGAAGGAACACACTCAGCTAAGCCAGTCTCACTCACTTCCACATTTTGCAGTAGCGGGAAGCCTGGTATTGAACCCATGTACTGCCCTGTGTGCTGGGGCCCTGTAAGTGCAGGCTTTGTATCTCCTCCTCCTCTGTCGTGCCTGTCTGCCTCCCTCTCCCAGAGTGCTCTTCTGAGCTGTAGATGCAGATACCCAGGTTTGCTTTGTTCCAGTTCATTCCCAGCGTGGTAGCTGAAGAGCTTCACTGATTTCGTGGTCCTGATGCTGTAACATTGAGTGTAAAGCTGCCATCTGCAGCACCAGCATCCTGTGGAGGCTCTGATCTGAATCCTAGCTGGTCCCCTCAATCCAGCTCCCTGCTATTGTGTCTAGGAAAGTAGCAGAGGAAGGTTCAAGTCCTTGGGTCCCTGCACCCCTGTCAGCGACCTGGAAGAAACTTCTGGCTTCTGACTGGCCCTGTTCCCACTGGTTATGGCCACCTGGACACTGAAGCAGTGGATTAAAGATCTCTCCCTTCCCTCTCCATCTGCAGCTCTGCCTTTGAATCTCATGTGGTGTCCTTGCCTAAAGCCCTCCATTGCTCTGGAGATATGTGGCTGACTCTTCACGGTCAAGAACAGGGTCTTTAGATCTGACTCCCTCTCGGCCATCCAGGTCTATCTCTGGCTTCTCGCCCTGGCACACTAAAGCTGTTGCAGGATTTCTTTCTCAAATACTCTTGTATCTCCAGTGTGTGCCTGTGGTTCCTAGACCACTTTACCTGGTGAACTCTTCAGCTGCACGGCCTGAGCTTAAAATAGCACTTCCTCAGAGTGCTGCCTGGAGTCTGGAGTTAGATCCTATCAGATGCTCGAATAGCACTGGGTATTTCCTGAGTTGTGCAACTCACGACACTTGAATTGCCTGTGTGTTGCCTGGTGGAGTCTCCTGTAAGCTTGCTGTCAGCTTGCCAGGAACTCTTGTCTCAGTCTCTGCTTGCTTTATTCCTAGTGCCAGACACATTTGTGGAGTATTTGGCATCTTTGATTTAGTTAATAAATTGTATTCTTGGTTGTATGATTTTAAAATGACCTTTGTTTTCCTCTTCAGTGTCTCAATGAAATCTTGGAGTCAGCTGACGCGCCTTTGGAAGTCACTGAAGGATTCATTCAGTCCATTTCTCTGTCGGTGCCTTGGGGCTCCCTGCTGCAGGATAACTGTGCCCTGGAAGTGAGAGGGCTGGAAATGGTGTTCCGGCCCAGACCTCGCCTAGGTAGCTGTGTTCCATGTCTTATGTACTTCATTTCTAATGCTTCAGAGACTGGGAAGGCAACCCAATTCCACTAAGTTCAGTTTTTATCTTATTTATTATCTTACATTGCATTGGTGAGATCTTTGGTTGGCAACATTAAGACTTTGGCCTGTGTAGGATGTATGTGATTAGGAACTTTAGTGTGTAATGATTGGGTTTATGCTAAATATTTGATACCAAGTATCTGAATGACTGGTGTTTTAAAAATTCAAAATATTACACCATAAAAGGACAACGCTCTGGCTTACATGGGATGGTTCCAACAGTTGGATTTTTTTTTCTTTAAAGATTTATTTATTTTACTTGAAACAGTTAACAGCGAAAGAGAGGGAGAGAACCCAGGGTCTTGCGTCTGCTGGTTCACTCTGCAAATGGTTGCAGTGGTTGGAGCTCAGCTAAGCTGAAGCTGAGAGAGAGGAGCTGCTTCTAGGTCTCCCACATGGATGCAGGGACCCACCATGTCTCCCACGTGGGTGCAGGGACCCACCATGTCTCCCACGTGGGTGCAGGGACCCACCCTGTCTCCCACGTGGGTGCAGGGACCCACCCTGTCTCCCACGTGGGTGCAGGGACCCACCCTGTCTCCCACATGGGTGCAGGGACCCACCTTGTCTCCCACGTGGGTGCAGGGACCCACCATGTCTCCCACGTGGATGCAGGGACCCACCCTGTCTTCCACGTGGGTGCAGGGACCCACCATGTCTCGTTTGTGGGTGCAGGGACCCAATACCTTGGACCATCCTCTGCTGCTTTCCTGTCATAAGCAGGCAACTGGATGAGAAGTGGAGCAGATGGGACTCCAGCTAGTCCCCATGTAGGATGTTAGTGCCATAAGTGGAGGGTTAGTGTGTGTGAAAGGTCGGAACATTAAAAAGAATAATAGTGTGCCGAAGTCCAGCTCCAGCTGAGTTCAGAACTTGAGAAGAGTGTGTGGATTACATGTAAAGAGGAAAGAAATAGACCACTAGGATTTCATGATCACAATGGACAAATGCAAGAAAGCTGTTCCCTTTATTTATAAAGAAGCAATCACAGGCCTTGGCACAGACTTTTGACGTCATGGTCAAATAGGTGTATCCAAGAATCATTCTGCCCTTTGTTTCACTTAAAAACAATAGAAGTTCCTACTACAATTCTTTTTCTACAACCTTAATCTTGTATCACAAAGGAGAACCTAAAGATTAAGGAAAGAATGAAACCCTAAATACAGGTCGCTTGATTAGCATAAGGTCAATGGGGACAGCCAAGACAGCATGAATAATAAAAGGCCCTTTTGCAAGACGTTATAATTGACATTGACCTCCAAGCTCACATTGAGTAAAAAGTCAACTCCATAGCAGCAAACAGTGCCTGGTAGTGTAGTGTCCATGCAAAGGATGGTGGAGCTGCTTTCAGGTGGTTGTAGAGTCTGCTGGACCCTGCCTTGCAGCGGGAAATTCCTTGAGGCTCTGCCTGCAATGGAACAATACTCTTCACACCTTTGTGTCCCCCACATCCACTGCACGGATCCCAGCAATAGTGAATTAAAGCATACTAAAAAATAAAAATCCTTGATTCCATAATGGTACAAAAAAATAGGCATGTAAAGTGGGCAAGGAGAAGAAGGAATTTCTTGGAACAATAGCATACCAAGCCGTAGCAAACAAAGATGTACAATTAGATGGAATTGGAAAATTCGAGTCCTGGAACCCAGGCACTCTAGTGAATATGGGCATTTCTGCCACTGGACCCAATGCCTGAAACACCAACATTTAAACTGTATGGTAGCATTAAAGTAATTTATATTTGAAAAATGGATAATGCATACTTGGAAATTCTTTTTTTTTTTTAAAGATTTATTTATTTATTGGAAAGTCAGACATACAGAGAGGAGGAGAGACAGAGAGGAAGATCTTCCGTCCGATGATTCACTCCACAAGTGACCACAACGGCCAATGCTATGCCGATCTGAAGCCAGGATCCAGGAGCTCTTCCGGGTCTCCCACGCAAGGGCAGGGTCCCAAGGCTTTGGGCCTTCCTCGACTGCTTTCCCAGGCCACAAGCAGGGAGCTGTGGATGGGAAGTGGAGCTGCCGGGATTAGAACCGGCGCCCATATGGGATCCCGGTGCGTTCAAGGCGAGGACTTTAGGTGCTAGACCATGCTGCCGGGCCCTGGAAATTCTTTTTAATCTAGTGTTTAATTTACAAGAATATCTTTTAACCATTATGCATCAATATAATTTTATATAAAAACTTAAACTTTAAAATTTTTCTACTTCAAAAATATTCCATCAGAAGAGCTTTTAAACTCCATTTTGGAGAGAATAATTCTAGAAATCTCTGTCCATTTGTGGTGAGTCAGGTAAGATGTGGTTGGATTTTCTATAATTTGTGTGTTTCTTCCTCCAGGATTGCTCAGGGTTTTATCTTCATTTATACTAGTTTCCAGCACCCATGCCACCTGTAACCTCTGTTGTGCCCAGATTTTGAGATCTGCAAAAATCACCAAGAGTCTGAAGTTGATCCAAGTGTACAAGGATAGTTTATTTAAGCTCAGCACATCTGAGCCTGGGTTCTTGGTTGAAAGCAGGCAGCTGGCTGAGCAACCGGCCAGGAGGCCTGCCGGGACCAACATCCCTTACTGGGGGTATGGCCCCGAACAGCACATTCATAGGGTTTTTATAGGGGCAGTCCACAATAGCTTGAAAAGGGGATATTCATAGTGGTCTGCAGGGTGAGGGGAAAAACCACACATTCCCTACTGTCTCAGCTGGACAGCCCATGCCTCCAGCCACTAAGGGAAGCACCCACTTAATTACTTGGAGCCACCTGTGAGATAACCAGACTCAGGTGGGCCTGGATTCATGAGAATTGGGACCCTTCAGTGCTAAGGGTCACATAGGCCGTTTGGCCTGCTAGCTCATACAGTTTCTTAGTAGCAATGAGCCATGAACAAATGGTTGGGATTTTCATACTGAGGTTCTTCACCTCTATCACATTTCTTGCTAATTCCCTAACTGGAAGTTTTAAACCCTTAGCTTTCATAAGATTTTTGTTGACATTCAACAATTGACAGCTTCTTCTTAATCATTTTGTTTTTTTTTAAATATTGTAGGCTCTTGAAGAGCAGAATTCATAATTGATTTCTCTGTCCCCTACCTCAGGACTATCAAACTATTGTTTGCAGGCCAAATTGGACCCATTAACTGTTTCATAATTAAAGTTTTATTGAGAGTCTTGCGTAATCACTTCCTCATTCTGTACGTGTGTGTGTACCATGGCAGTAGAGTTGATGTTTGTGGTGTAGATCATATGGCCCACAGAGCTTTCTACAGAAAGCATTTGTTGACGCTGTGCCATCTTGACAACAGAACCATCAACTCTCAAAACCACTTGTAGGAAATTGTTTTCATGAGTGATAAATACCACAGTGCTAAGAGTTTTGTGAAGGATTAATGATTTATCTGTTTGAAATATGTTACTTTAAAAAAATGGCAACTCTGAGAAAGTTATTTAGAATGAATCTGTAATTTCTGCAGCAACTGGTTCTGAACCCATGTATTGGTCAAGTTTCATGACCAGCAGTATGCAGTTGGCAAAAGAATGTCTTAGCCAGAAGTTGACCGACGAGCAAGGAGAAGGGTCCCAGCCGTTTGAAGGACTGGAAAAGTTTGCTGAAACCATTGAAACAGGTTTGATACTGTCGAGCATTTTCATAACTTTAGATTTTGTTTCCCAACTTAGTACTTTTATTTAGTAAACTTGCTTGTTTGTAAAGCAAGTCCACTGCGATGATTTCTGAAAGAATTACTGTTCTTACTTCAGAGCTTTCAAATTGGGCTATGATAAATATTCAGCTTTATTTACAGATTTCTTCTGTATCGTGGTTTCTCCTTTTTTGTGTATTATGCTTGCATAGTCAAGGGATTAGACTTTAACAAATTGTGTTAATCTTTACTACAAATGTCTGAGTTGTAACATGGACGAGTGCTCAGCAAAGCAAAGTATTGATTGTAAAATTCAGGATTTGGGGATTTTAAAGGAAATAAGTTTGGTTTCTTTAATTTCTAAAATCTTATAAAAATATTGGTTTGTAAATTGTTGCTGATGTTATGTTGGGGCTTTTAATTGATTGGGATGATACTCTGCTGGCTCTACCTTCAGACCAGAGAAGATCTCCCCAACAAGCCGTTGAATTTATCTGGACAGTAAAATGCTGGACTCTATGCTTGGTATATACTTGCAATGAAAGACTCTCAACTGAATTTGAACTGAGGTTATGCAACAAGGTGGAGGAATCCACCATGGGGAGAGGGTTAGGGGAGGGATGGGGGGCATCCTAGTACCTATAAAACTGTGTCACATAATACAGTGTAATTAATTTTAAAAAAAGGAAAAAAAATAAAAATATTGGTTTGCTTATTAGTTTCTCAATAAACTTGGTGTCACTGGTCTCTTACACCCATGATTACATTTTTAATCTAGTGCTCAGAAGAGTCAAGGTCACTTTCATAGACACTGTTTTGAGAATTGAACATGTGCCAGAAAATTCCAAAACTGGAACTGCACTTGAAATCAGAATAGAAAGGTAAGAATTCTGATGTCTGAAAACAGATTATACTATTGTTAACTCTTTAATAAAATTTCAGGGTGCTTTTGGAGACTTAGGTGATAATATGGATTTAAATACTGCATATTTGAGAGTAAATTGCTTCTCTCCAAGTTGTAGTTAAGTCTCATTATTGAAAACTTAAAAATACCAGTTGGGGTGTATTTGTATATAATGCATTTCTAATAAATCTTGCTTTAAAACTAAAAAAAAAAAAATAAAGCCAACAACAACAACAACAAAAAAAATCAACAACAACAAAAAAATCAACCAACCAACCAACAAAAACAAACAAAACAACCCAGTTGGGGCGTATTTGTGTATAATGCTGTGTTAAATTCAGAGCCCATAAGTATGGATCAATACAAAATATTATTGAGGGCTCCTGTGTTCAGGGCATTTCTGTCAGGGGGTTTCAGTTTTCATCATCCATGTGAGCAGTGTGGCCATGGTCTAGGCGTGGGAGTGATGTGTCTGCTGTACCTCATCTGATGGCTGCTTTGATGAGAAAGGCTAGGCCTGCTGCTGCCTTTGAGGATTCTGTTAGGATTAAAAACAAGGAAGCTTATTACCTGCATTAGTGGCAGACATGGGAAGACAGGCGTGTGGCTTTTATTTTTGTGTCTGTCTACTTGGAAGCCTAGGGATTTGTTTGCATAGGCACACCTGTGTGTTGATTTGGAGAGCAGCTCTTAGCCCTTGTCTGGATGCTGTGACTGCAGTCAGAAGTGAGCAGGGTGACGTGTGACACTGAGCGCTAGAGAGCATGTGTGCAGCTCTCTGGGTTCTTGGCGAAACTTTGTGCAGATATTCGTTCAGATCTGTTAGTAAAACAGTTATTGTTAATAGTCTTTGATGTTAAGACATATTAAAAAGAAGCTTAAATCTCATGCCTTTAGAACTGCATTCTGTATCTTTAAAGCAAGACTAGTTACACATAAGAATGCAGTGCGTGTCATTCATGTTAGACCGGTGACCGGGAGCCAAATGCGGCCTTGTTTTTATGAAGAGGTGTTTTGTGATACATTGCAGGGATTATTTTCCATGCAACTACTTTTAAGAAGTTATTAATCCCCAGATTTGAGAGCCTTACCAAATTATCTTTCTTGAAGTTCACATCTCTTTATAAAAATATTTTTGCTGCAGTAAGGCATGATGAGGCTGACCCATGTTAAAACTACATGCGTTTCTTGTTATCGCAGATAGTTTTTTTAGGAGTTTATTCGAATGATTTTTTTGTTTTCCACCTTCAGAACTGTGTACTGTGACGAGGCTGCTGATGAATCCTCAGGGGTTAACGTGCACCAGCCCACAGCTTTTGCTCACAAATTGCTGCAGCTCTCTGGAGTGACTCTCTTTTGGGATGAGTTTTCTGCATCAGCAAAATCTTCCCCGGTGTGTTCAGCTGCACCCGCGGTAAGAACAAGACGGGCATGCAGTCCTCGCCATGGGGACGTGTCACGAGGCCTGAAACTGCCAGAATGTGGACAGTGTGTGTTGATGGGTTTGTCAGGTCTGGGAGTCACGCAAAGGTTCTGCAATGAAGATAGATCTTTCAAAGATTTAAACATGTAATAGATGCCTTTCCTAGCAGTTTACTTTATTTTAGCTTGGTAGAAAAATGTTGATTACCGTATCTTGGGGAAAAATGATTTGTAAGCATTTAAGGTCCTTTGGCAGTCAAGTTACTGGAGATCCCCAGTGTTTGTATTTACTTTCACAGTGAATGTATTGCTGAAGGTTGACCTCCAAGTTGTATCTCATACCTTATTTATAACTAAGGAATTCTGTTCATGTCTTCTAAGAGCACAGATAAAATAATCATTCCATAATTACCTTGGAGGTTTTATTTCAGAAATCAGTTTTTCTTAATTATACGAAATCTCTTTTTTTTTTTTGCTTTGATTTGCATAGCATAAACATTCATACACTCTTTTACCATGTTGTGTCTTTATTGCTAAAGTATTTGGCTGGTTTATTGTATTATTGTATTTCATTTTATTTGTAAGTTACTGATTTATCCATTTTAGCATAACATTACAGTTTTGCAAGTCAAACAGTTTATTCCCAAGTTAACATACTTTGCTTTGTTTGCACTGAAGCGTTGTGACTTGACAGTCACTTTACTCTTATTACTTTATTGTAGGAAAGTGAGCCGAAGTTGTCACCTAGCTGGAACCCCAAAATTGTTTATGAGCCACACCCACAATTAACTAGAAATTTACCTGAAATAGCACCCTCTGATCCAGTGCAGATTGGAGGGTTGGTTGGTAGGCTGGAATTAAGTATCACGTTGAAACAGAATGAAGTGCTTCCTGGAGCAAAGGTCAGTGTTGTGTTTTATGTAAGTATTCTTTAGTCTACATAGTGGCCCACTATTGATTGCCATAGATTATCCTGTAACTAGCTACCTTCCTTCCTGGAAACAGTGTTTTCTCTCTCAGTATCCTTGGGTTACAAAATTCATGTGAGGTGTCTTAGTGCTCTGGCTGAGAGGTTTATAAAGGGTTGTCCTCATCGTTCTCCCCGATCCTACAAAAACAAAACCCCCTTTGTTGTGTTGGTATAGCTTCTTTAGTTCAGATAAATGGGAATTTATGAATTAATCTCTGTGTATTATAAAATTAAGGTTTAACAAGAACAGATTTTAAAAGCAAGGAGTTGACTCTAGAAGATGCTTATACATGTAAAACGTGCTCATTTATGTTTGGAATAGAAGGACCTTTTTATAGCTGTAGATTTCTGGCAGGATTAGTTCTTCGTCATGGCATGTCAGTTTTTGGAGGACGTTGTTTAAAGGCAGCTGTGCTTGTTTCTCAGTGTACGATATTGATCACTTGGTTGGAGAATTTGGAAACTTGTATTTATGAGGTCAGTTTAAAATATATTTGTTAATTGTTAACTTTTGTGCTTTGAAAACTGACTTTTTATGTAATCCCTATAAGATACAATTTAAATGAAGAAGCTATTGGGATTTGTGTGTGTGCTTACTGGTTTCCTCTGAGTAGATATCCAAGTGACTGTCTTAGCTTTCACTACGCAAGTTCTCGGAACAGAGGCAGAGATGTCTGGAATGCAGTCTGCCTTGCCTTATTAAAAGATGCAGTAAGGGGAGCATGAGGGGGACCCACTAGTTACATGTGACTATTCATGCAAAGATGGCCAGAGCATAAAGTATCCCCAAATGCTTCCCTTAAGAGGAATGCTGTGGAGTTGCAGGAGAGCAGTGATGGCGTGCAAACTCTTGTGTTCCTGCCTTCATTGCCGGAGTTCTGAGGTGGCAGGAGGTTCCCTCATTAGGTTAAGCCTCTGCATATTAACATGATGGACTCTTGGAGAGTGGGTAGTCAGAGTTAGGTGTAAGCACCACAAGGACTGTAATTTTTTTTCCACTGGACCCTAAAAGTTTTTTACTTTGGTTCAAGGTGTTAGACCAGAGTAGTGCACTGTTGTATATAGTGTATGTGATGTTTTGTGTTTGCAGTTTTATCATGTTTTTGAAATGCTGTTTATGTTGTAAAGGACTACTTGCCTTGAATTTAAAGATGTTTTGCTTCTGTTTCTGCATAATATTGAATTGATCTCTTTTTGTTGTTATGTTTTTTCATATTTCCAAAAAAAGTCATGTGTACTTGTACTTGGGTTTTTATATGCCAAACTAAGAATGTATTAATAATGAAATATTTCTATGAAGATGAGAAATTAAACTGTTGATCTTCCATTTTAATGAAGGATGGACTGTTGTTCAACACTAAACAAATAAGAAGCATTAAGCATGTGACATTGCCATATGAACGTCTTTCCATCCTTCCAAGCCGTAGTTCCTTGGTGATCTGTGGTCTAGTGAGAGCCTGTAAAGCAGCCGTGCTTGGGCAGAATGGGGGCACCGCACCGCCCAAGCAACGAGGGCTTTGAAAGAGTTGGCATTCGGTTAGAACCCTGCCTCTGGGTCTGTTATAACCTTGTGCAGATCACATGATCTTTGTGAAACTGTTTCCTCTTTAAGAGGAACAGTAATAAGAATTTAAGGAAACATATAAAACCACCTAGCATAGTACCCCACTACTGAGGGAAAAGTGATTACCTGCCTGGAAGGGAAGCTGCTAAGTCCTGGTGCATCTCACTAGCCGGCTCCCTGCTGGTGGGTGGTGGCCAGTGATTTCTCAAGTACTTGACTCCCTGCTGTCCATGGGCCAGATTCAGATTGAGTTTTGTCTCTTAATTGGCCTGGCCTGGCCTGGCCATGGCTGTTTCAGAAGTTGCTCTGCCTTTCAAAAAAATAAAAATAAGTGTACTTAAAAATGAAGATAATAATTATATATTGGAGAATATGTTATAGACTTAGTTGGATAATGGAAATTTTTCAAATCACTAAGTAATGTATTTCTGATTTTCACTTTTAACGTCAGAAGTGATTTCTCTTTCACTTGGGAAAGAGCATGTTTTCCAAATAAAAGTAGGTCATGATTTGAATTACTCAGTACTTGCAAAATGGTGTGATGATGCTGGCAGTCAGTATGAGCACGTAAGAGCAAAGAGGAGGTGGATGAAAAATAAGGCTGGGTTATTCAGCTTGAATGCCACCTAGAAAATAGCCGTTGTTTTTGTCAGTATACATCATAGGAATTAGGAAACAATGAGTTCCTATATGAACAGAGAATTAGAAGAGAGAGCCTCGTGTATTCACACTGCTGTGATGTCTCCTGCTCCATGGAAGAACCAGCACAGCAGGTGTGTAAGAGGCACACTGCCAACAGAGTGTGGTGGATAGCGCCACCTGTGGCAGGGCAGGGGAGTCAGCTCTGCTCTGGGTTTGAATGGAACTTTAAGGACTATGATTTCAATCTCCGGAAAGACAGCAGAAACTACTGCTACTTTAGTATTCCCTCTCAGACACTAAGTGTTAAAGTCCCTGCAGTATGTTAACTCCAAGGAAGACTTAGACAAAGAGTATGATATTAGATGCACTTGACACTCAATTTCTCAGGAGGATTTTCTCTTCAAACAACAGTTTGGAGGTCTTTCATCATTTTCATGGAGACTGCCATCAACAGAGAAGATCTTGGGCTAAAGAATTTTGCAACTATAGACTTTGTGTTTCAGTGTTTATTGAAATTGATGGTGTTGAGCTTATAAAGAGTGCTCATTCTGAGTCTCTCTCTGTTTTGCTTTTGAAGTTGGATGTGGATGGACACATAGACTCCATCCATCTGTTCCTGTCGCCGAGACAGGTACATTTGCTTTTGGATATGTTAGCAGCTATTGCTGGACCAGGCAAGTATCAAGTCTCTCTTTACTAATATTAATTCCTTGCAATTTTAAATGAAATTATTTAAATATTTAACATGTACATAGGAAAATTATTATTTTTGGGTTTGTGAGAATAAAAAATGTATTGTAAATAAGATCCCAAAAATTACATTTGAATGAGTCTTTTTAATTGTGTTACTGTGACACGAATTTTCGTTCATATTATTTGTGTCATGTTATTGTTCTGATTTATATCTTTGGGAATAGTACTTCATGTAAATGAGAATGTAGCATGCATTTAAACATGCCTTTAATGGCACATCGTCAGAGGTGAGCTACTGAAGCTGTCACCTAGATCTCTAATATTAAATAATGGTGCTTTGTAGTGACTGTGGTGCTCAGTTGCCATTGATATTGGATAAGTGGGATTTGGAAAAAAAATAACTAACTCCAAATTTAATTGCTGTTTTGCTTTCCTTTTGTATACTTGTAGAAAATTCTAGCAAAATAGGGTTAGCTAATAAAGATAGGAAAAATCGACCTATGCAGCAGGAAGATGAGTATCGAATTCAGATGGAATTAAACCGGTATTATTTGAGAAAAGATTCCCTCTCTGTGGGCGTGTCTTCAGAACAAAGCTTGTATGAGACAGAAACGGCTCACACGCCATCTAGCCGCGGTAAGCAACACCAGCAGCTGACGCAGAGTTCTGCAGCAGCAGAAACTGAGCTTTGGCTTCTGGGGAAAGGGCTGAGCAGTGAAAGAACCAAAGACTCCCTAGTGTAGGAACTTGTCATGTGTAAGCTGACCTAACCACACAATTAGTGATGCATCAGTACGGGGTTGCTGTAGTAGCACTTGTGTTGTTTTGTGTTGTGGCTGATGATTTATTCTTAGAAAAAATTGATAAAAATGTAGACTTACATAAGAAACATTAGGAGTAATTTGTCAAATTTTTGCTGACATAGTAATTTTCGGTAGATTCCTTTGCAGTAGGAAGCTTTATTCTTTCCATCAATTTCATGTAAATGTTGTCTTTAACCAGCTTCCTTTACAAGTGTGTCAGAATTCGTAAATATTAATACTATAGTAATAACATCAGTTTAATTATGGAATTTTGAGCCAAAAAAACAAACCCTTGACGTCTGTCCCAGAAATCGTAGCTATTGGAGAAAACTTGTTTTTTGTGAGGATGAGCAGTGTTCGAAAAGAAGAAACTGAAATACAAAATTTTAAGGATTGTGTTTGGATTTCTATAAAAAACTGTATCTATGAAACCAGAGATTGTACTATATTTAAATTAGTTTAAAATCCAGATTTTGACTCTTAAATTGTCGGAGGACACTGAGTGTACTCTGTGGTCCTGCATATCATTCAAGGAGACTTCAAAGAGTGTGTGGGAAACAGAATTACTATTTTATGTTGGTACAATGAATTTTCAGATTCATGCATGCTGCTCTTAATATACATTCTTAAGAACTTTTTGAGATTATATGTGTAGATTTTTTTTCTTTTTACACCATAATAAAGTCATTGTTTGAAGGATTTATTTTTAATTGAAAGGCAGATTTACAGAGAAAAAACAAAACGAAATAAACAATCAAAAAACCTGTCTCTCCTTCTAACTGCTGGTTCATTCTCCAAATGACTGCAATGGCTAGAGCTGAGCCGGCCTAAAGCCAGGAGCCGGGAGCTTTTTCTGGGTCTTCTGTACGGTGTAGAGGCCATAGGACTTGGGCCATTCTCTGTTGTTTTCCCAGGCCATCAGCAAGGAGCTAGATTGGAAGTGGAACAGTCAGCGCTTGAACCAGTGCCCATATGGGATGCTGATGCTGGCAGGTGGAGGGTTAGCCTTGTACGCCACTGCGCAGGCCATAGTAAACTAATTTTTAAATTCTTACTCTCCATAAACTTTCGAGGAATCCCTTGTATTAAAAAGATCCAAGACAACTGTAAGTTAGCTTAACCTTTTGTTAATTCTTATGTGCAACTGAGTTCTTGCTATGTCATAATAACTTGGATTCATATGGATTATCTCATTGGAAGTAATAAAATTTGTGATGTTAAACCTATATTGACTTAAATACTTTACTTGGAGGAATGATAAGATAAGTGACAAAGTTTAATTCTCTCTAGAAGAAGAAGTTTTTTTCTCCATGGCTGATATGGACATGTCCCATAGTCTCTCTTCTCTTCCGCCTCTTGGGGACCCCCCAAACATGGATCTTGAGTTATCACTAACTAGTACATATACGAACACCCCAGCAGGATCTCCATTAAGTGCTACGGTGGTAAAGTATTTAATTTTTGTTATGTTCTTGAAAGTTTGCCTTTGAAATTCTGCACTGCATTCATGTGTCTTTGAAAATTGTCTTTTACAGCTTCAGCCGACTTGGGGAGAGTTCCTTGAGCACCGCAAGGAGCAGCAGGCAGGAAGAGGGCCGAGCTTCCCACGCAGCGGCACCCAGCTGCCGACTTTACAGACAGCTGGTCAGTAAAGAAGACATTGGTTGTTGGTTTCTACTGGGATTTCTGCTTCGAAGCTGGGGCGGGGAATGCTTCTTCCAGAAAGTGCTGTGCTGCCGCTCTTCTTTCCCGTCAGTCTTCCAGGTAGCAGGGGCGTGGATTCATTACCGGAGTTCAGAACAGTTCACTGGCAAGTTTTTATAATAGTTGTTCATTTATTGAGGTGGAAAGCACGCCACAGATCTCTTACTAACGCAGTTCAGAAGTCTCAGCCAGCCGTTGGAGTTCGGCCTCACGTGTATGGGTGCTCTGAAAGGGAACCTTGGCTTTTGGCAACACAGAGGGCTCAGCGGAAAGTTCGACCAACACCTTGTGGTTCATGTTCACTTTTCTAGTACAGTTTTATTGATGCAAAAACCTTGTTCTTATGTTATATTTTTTTATAAAATTATGACAAGAACCCTGGATATAGCAGGCAGCAAAATAATAGTTTTCCGTTTTACTTGAATTATTTAATATCATTCAAAACTATTGCGAGATCACCTTTTTATAAAATGCTAGTAGATGAATAGTTTTTTCTAATGTTGTCATGTTGTAAGGATTTTGCTTCCCACGTGTTTTCAGCTCTCCCTGCTCGCTCTGTGTCACTGGAGGAGTCCAGGCCTGAGCTCATTCTCCGGCTAGCTCTGGGAGCGTGTTCAGTGTGTGTGCTGCACATTGACCCTCTGTCTCCACCGGAAACATCGCTGGGCCGGAACCCCTCGACGCCCATGGCGCTAGCCTTCTTTAACTGTGTAGAAAAGATCGACCCGCAGCGATTTTCAACCGAAGACTTTAAGTCCTTCCGGGCAGTGTTTGCAGAAGCTTGTTCACATGACCATCTTAGGTAAACTCTAAGGTTTATTCGCAGTGTTTAAAAAGAACCGATTGTAGAATGCTGTCTTCGTCTTTCTATCTGCCTCCCCTTTATTTTCTGCTTAATATTTAGTTTGTGACTGGAATGAGTAAGTTTCTTATACATCTGTAAAGATTTTTTTGTATATAATTCCTCATTGATGGAATTTGGCTTTCGGTACAATTCAGATCAAAGCTGAATCGGTCTTGCAGTATAATCTGTTTCGTTCTTTGCCACATTCTGTACCAGATTTTTGGACCACGTTTTGCTATCACTAGTGACACTGATCACGGAAGTGGCATTAGTAGATCTGACGGTTTTGTAAGTAGAGTGAACTAGTAGAAAGGACTCTAAGTGTGACCCATATCCCACTGACTGGGCTGAGAAGGACCTGCGGCTGATCCGAGCTCGGCTGGTGCCTGGGAACTCGGGCTGCAGAAACAAAAGCCAGCCGTGCTGCACAGAGCCGCTCGCCCGTTTCCGTGGGCTGAGTGCTGACACGAGAGATAACAGAATGTTATTTATTCCAATATAAAGGTGACAACTTATTAAATGATGTTTGTTTATATGATGGTTTGGATTTCAATATGAAGGTGACAAGTTACTAAGCGATATTTGTTTATATAATGGCTTGGATACATGTTATCAGCTATTTTTGAAAGAATCTTGGAATTTTATTTTGAATGCTTTTGGAGTATTAAAATTAGTATATGAAACAGTTTTGACGTCTCCTAAAAGAAACCATAGTAAAAACTAAAAATATATTTTCCTTCTCATTTTGGACAAGGTTTCAAATATCTGCCAGAAGAAAACATAATAAAATCAACAAAAGCCAGAGGTAGACTGTATTATTTGAGCCCCACCAACTCAAATATAAAAATATTCCATGATGTATCCATGTAATTTAAAAAGACTTTCATCATATTTAGCAAGTTCAAAAACGTCAGCATTGGAAGTGGGAAGGACAGTGTTAGAGACAAATCTATCCTGGAAAATTTCTTTCTTTATGAAACTTACTTTATGTCAGGGAGCAGCAGGTTGAGTCTGTCTTTCCAGTTGACGTCCTTGGGAATAGTAGTTCTGCTAGCCACCTGACTTTGTCAAAGTCAGTAGGAATGGTTAGGCACTGCTAACACTGTGTGCTGGGTTTCTTCTTTATTTTTGAATCCATTTTTAATGTAGATTATGTGAAACATATATGAACATTCTCAAATGCTGCATTTTTAATAATAGGTTTATAGGCACGGGCATCAAAATGTCCTACGAGCAAAGACAGAGATCAGCTTCCCGTTACTTCAGTACCGATGTTTCTGTCGGGCAAGTGGAGTTGTTGGAGTGCCTGTTTCCAAGTGATTTTCATTCTGTTCCTCCTCACTACACAGAGGTAAGTATGGATATTTTTTATGTTTAAAAATTGTGGGGGCTGGTGCTGTGGCATGTCAGGTGAAGCTGCCAATTCAAGTGCCAGTATTGCACATGGGCACTGACTTGAGTTCTGGCTGCACCACTCCTGATGCAGCTCCCTGCTTGTGTCCTGGGAAAGCAGCAAGGTTGGCCCAAAGCCGTGGAACCCTGCATCCATGTGGGAGACCCAGAAAAAGCTCCTGGCTCCTGGCTTCGGATTGGCTTTGCTCTGGCCACTGTGGCCACGTGTTCGGTGAGCCAACGGATGAAGATCTTTCTCTATATAAATCTGCCTTTCAATAAAAAAATGTATAGTAAGTCCTATGGGAGAAGTACTAATATGGGTTTGTTTTGTCTAATTTTTGACATTTGTGTTAAGACAGATCTTAAAATAATGCAGATAAGACCATTTACTAGTTTTAGTATTAGAGCTTTTAATTTACAGTTGATTGTTTCAGAGCAGCAGACTGTGAGACAAGTGACTCCATTTCACTCATGTTCAAAGTAGCCTTCATCTTAGAAGATTCTATTATAGAATAGTTTTTTTTTTAAAGGTTTATTTTTATTATTTTTTTTATTGGAAAGGCGGATATACAGAGAGGAGAGACAGAGAGGAAGATCTTCCGTCCGATGATTCACTCCCTAAGTGAGCGCAACGGCCGATGCTATGCCGATCTGAAGCCAGGAGCCTCTTCTGGGTCTCCCACGTGGGTGCAGGGTCCCAAGGCTTTGGGCCGTCCTCGACTGCTTTCCCGGGCCACAGGCAGGGAGCTGGATGGGAAGCGGGGCTGCTGGGATAGAACCGGCGCCCATATGGGATCCTGGGCGTGCAAGGCGAGGACCTTAACCACTGCGCCACCGCGCCAGGCCCTAAAATAGTTCTTTACTGAAAACCTGTGTACTACATACTGTTCAAGTCAAGAGAATTATATTGTATTCATTTATCACCAGTGTGGTTTTCTTGCTAATATTAAAGTCTGTCCTAAGAAGCTTTCAGAAACTGTCAATAACATGCTTTTGTGGATTTATTTTCATTATTTGAAAGGCAGAGTTAGAGACAGAGGGGTGTTCCGTCTGTTGGTTCGCTCCCTCACTGGCTGCTATGGCTTCCCATGTGGATGTAGCCTCCCAAGCCCCTGGGTCACCCTCTGCTGCTTTCCCAGGGAGCTGGATTGGATTAGAACCAGCGCCCATAGGATTCCAGCCTCATCTGCTTAATGGGCCGTCACATTTGTTACTATTCTCCTGTCCTTTTGTTTATTCCAAACCCTCACCACAGTTAGGGTGGGGAGACCAAGCTAAGCCGGGAACTCCATCTGCACCCTGCCTCTCCCATGTGGGCAGCTGGGCTCCAGCTACTTGAGCCATCCCTGGCTGCTATGCTGGGTGCCCGCGAGCAGGAAGCTGGGATAGAGGGCAGAGCTGTGCTTTGCCTGTAGATTTACTGACTTGGAAGGTGGCTCTGCCAGACCTCCTTCCCTTCCTTTATATTTTGTGGATGAGATTCTAAGCATTGTGGTGGTTAGTTAAGATTCACACTGCTAGCAAATGACAGCTCTACCTTTCATATAAATGAAAAAGTAAACATTTTATAATTGAAAAGTAATACTAAAATCAGCTTTTTTGAATTCCAAGAAGTTTTCTGGACTTTTATAATGGCACCTTTGTTAATTCATGTACCTAACTACAGCTCACTAGCTGACATTTAAATTATTTTTGTTTTTAAGCTTTTAACGTTCCAGCCCAAGGAAGGAACTGATTCCCACGCTCCTGTGTGTCTTCAGCTGCACTACAAGCACTGTGAGAACAGAGCGCCTCAGGTGGGAATGGGCAGTGTCGTTACCACTGCAGTGTAAGCACTGTGAGAACAGAGCATCCCGGGTGGGAGTGGGCAGTGTCATTACCACTGCAGTGTAAGCACTGTGAGAACAGAGCATCCTGGGTGGGAGTGGGCAGTGTCATTACCACTGCAGTGTAAGCACTGTGAGAACAGAGCATCCTGGGTGGGAGTGGGCGGTGTCATTCCCACTGCACTGTAAGCACTGTGAGAACAGAGCGCCTCAGGTGGGAGTGGGCGGTGTCATTACCACTGCAGTGTAAGCACTGTGAGAACAGAGCGTCCCGGGTGGGAGTGGGCGGTGTCATTACCACCTGTTGGTTGTACTTTGTTGATACATACCTTGTTGCAGTTTTATCCTGATTTATTTTATAGTATTATTGGTAAATATTATGTTTTCTTTCTTTTTTAACAGGGTAGTCAAGCCAGACTAAGTGCAGTTCCTCAGAAGGCAGAATTACAAATTAAATTAAATCCAGTGTGTTGTGAATTGGACATCAGTATTGTGGACAGGTTAAATTCCTTGCTTCAACCACAAAAACTTACTACAGTCGAAATGATGGCGTCTCACATGTACACTTCATACAATAAGCATGTCAGTCTGGTGAGTACTCAGTCTTCTTGGAATGACAGGTAGCTACTGGGCTGATTGGGATCATTGCTGAGCTAAGTATTCCACATATAGCATTTATTCCTTTTTTTTTTTTTAAAGATTTATTTTTATTATTTTTTTTATTGGAAAGGCGGATATACAGAGAGGAGAGACAGAGAGGAAGATCTTCCGTCCGATGATTCACTCCCCAAGTGAGAGCAACGGCCGATGCTATGCCGATCTGAAGCCAGGAGCCTCTTCTGGGTCTCCCACGCGGGTGCAGGGTCCCAAAGCCTTGGGCCGTCCCCGACTGCTTTCCCAGGCCACAGGCAGGGAGCTGGATGGGAAGTGGGGCTGCCTGGATAGAACCGGCGCCCATATGGGATCCCGGGTGTGCAAGGCGAGGACCTTAACCACTTTTGCCACCGTGCTGGGCCCTTATTCCTGTTTTTAAGGGAGACTTTCTGAATTTTTTTTCTTTCAAGGATTTATTTACCTGAAAGAGTTACAAAAAGGTGCAGAATGAGAGAGAGAGAGATTTTATGTCTACTGGTTCAGTTGCAGCGTGCAGGCAGCGTGCAGGGCTGGGTCAGACGGAAGCCAGGAGTTGCTTCTTGCTCTCCCATCCGGGTGACAAGGCTGCAGGCACTCGGGCTGTTCCCTGTCCCATGTGAGGAGAACTGGGTTGGAAGTGAGCAGTTGGGACCGGAGTCTCCATTGTTACTGGATGCCAGCAGTCTGCAGGTGGCTTTACATGCCAGGCCACGGTGCCCACCACGGTGCCCGCCACGGTGCCCGCCTCGGCATTTATTGTTACAACACCAATTTTTTTTTTTTTCAATATTGCAAGAATGGAGACATCTTTTCTATCTTGAAGATTAGGTAAATTTTGGTAATACATTGAATAACATTTTATGTAGCCATTTTGTTTTTATTTTATTATTTATTTATTAAAAAGGCAGCGTGGGCCTGGTGCAATGGATGGTGCCTGTAATCTCTTATAAGCAAATTAGACAAGCAGAGTTGCAAAATTTGGAATTTGGGACTGGAATGGGAAACCATTAAAAAGAAAAAAACAAAAATAACTCTTCTGTATTCTTTGTCGGCGTATTCATAGTAAATAGTTAAATATGTCATTTTCTTTCATCTCCAGTTGTTAGTTACTTTAAATTCTGTGGACTAGTCTTTGTATTTGCTGTTAGCCAGAGATATATTGGGTCTGTTGGTTTAATCTCTTGAGTTGTTTTTGCTTAAGAATGGGGATTAGTACATGAAAGTTAAATAGTGGAATAGGTAGAATTGATGAAAAGCCTAGTTGGGGGGCCACTGTTGTGGTGGTGAAGTGGATTAAGCTGCTGGCTGCAACACTGGCATCCTATAGGAATGCCAGTTTGAGGCCCTTCTGCTCCATTTCTGATCCCAGCTAATGCTCCAGGGAAAGCAACAGAAGGTGGCCCTCTGTCAGGCCCTTGCCTGCAGGTGGGACACCTTGAAGCCTTGCAAGCTGCTGGCCTCGGCCGGTGCGGCCCCAGGGGGCGTCTAGGGGGTCACCAGCGCTTGGATGGTTTCCCACTCTCCTGCTTCCTCCCCTGCCTTGCTCCACTCCTTCTCCTCCTCTTCCTGTCCCTGCCCTGCCTCTCCAACTGACTTCCAACATGTAACTAACTCTTAAAAAAAATCCAAGTTCCGCGTAAGAGGAGAACTTCCTAATGTAAGAAATTAGAGACTGATTCAAGAAATTGAGTGTGACATCCTTCCGCGTTATACTAAGGCTTGTTTCCGTGTGTTTTGGTTCAGAAGAGTTCAGCCTGGACTTGTGTGTGAGTCACATGTTCTTTGCCCCTTTTATGAGAGTCACATGGCCCTGGGTAAGCGGTTGTGATTTGGGAACTAGCCATTTAGTGAGATCTCACCTGTGTGGTGCACAGCAGCTTGAGGCAAGTTACGGAATGAATGTTTGTTTAGCACCTGTGGTGTGCTGGCCTCTGGGCTAAGTGCTGGAGATAGGAAGATGATTCAAACAGGTGCTTTTATTTAACATAATTCCTCTGAGTTCACATTAAGTTGGTAGATAAATCTTTTATATTAATGTCAAGTATGATCATGATTTTTTTTTAAAGATTTATTTTTTACTTGTTTGTGAAAGTCAGATACACAGATAGAGGAAGATCTTCCATCTGCTGGTTCACTCCCCAAGTGACCTCAATGGCCAGAGCTGTGCCAATCTGAAGCCTGGAGCCAGGAGCTTCTTCCGGGTCTACATGCGGGTGCAAAGTCCCAAGACTTTGTTTGGGCCATCTGTGGCGTTCAAGGCAGAGACTTTAGCTGCTAAGCTACTGCGCTGGGCCCCTGATCATGATTTTTAATTAGTGAATTTTTAGATAGACTAATTTACACATTATTCATTTTTAGTTTATAGTAAGATATATATGTATTTGTAGTGCCTCTGTGTTTACTTTGTTTTTTTTTTTCAATATTAAAGTTTAACTTTTACCGTTAGTTTGTGTTCATGGTTGTTGCATTAGTAAAATTACATTATACTAAATTAATATGGTCATAATTAAGTTCAATTGTATTTTAATGTATTATTTGTACCAAAGAGAGAAATAGTAGTTATACAAATTGTAGTGTTGAGTACTAATGCATTTGTGTTTGCCTATTTATTTTAATATCTGGGCGTACTTTCAATGTTTTCTGTTTTAGCACAAGGCTTTTACTGAAGTGTTTCTAGATGATTCCCATAATCCTGCAAACTGCCGGGTGTCGGTGCAAGTTGCCACGCCAGCACTGAATCTGTCTGTGCGCTTCCCGATTCCTGACCTCCGCTCAGATCAAGAGAGAGGGCCGTGGTTTAAGAAGTCTCTGCAGAAGGAGGTCCTTCATTTAACATTCACAGATCTAGAATTCAAGACCGAATTTATAGGAGGATCAACTCCAGAACAAATCAAATTGGAGCTTACCTTCAGAGAACTGTGTGGTAAGACTGTCGTGCTTGTACAAGAGCAGATCAAACAGCCGCCGTGCGGCCTGCGTCCCGGCAGGACCGGGCGTCCTGAAAACGGGAGGCCAGAGCCAAAAGCCTGTCTCCCCATACGTGATGCTTCAGGTTTTAAAAGTTTTACCCTTTTTCTGATGAAAAAATGAAATTGCACATACTTATGGAATACCATGTGACACAGATATACATACAGTATATCTGAATGAATCAGATTTTTAAAAATTTATCTTTATTGGAAAGGCACAGGTACAGAGATCTTCCATTTTCTGGTTCACTCTCCAAATGGCTGCAACAGCCAGAGCTGAGCTAACCTATAGTCAGGAGCCAGGAGCACCTAGGTCTCCCTGATGCAAGTAGGAGTAGCCCGACTTGCACGGGTGCCCATATGAGGTGCCAGCATTGCAGGCAGAGGTTTAGCATTAACAGGCCACGGGGGCAGCCCCAGAGTCAGTTTCTAAAAACACTTTAAAGTGTGATAGTTTATGCACTTGTTTTAAATTTTTGTTCTCTGCAGGGGAATGTATTGCTTGGCCTACATCTTCTTAAAGGAATTATTTATTTTTATTGGTGAGGAAGAGAGACAGGAAGATCTTTTGTCTGCTGGCTCACTGCCCAGTTGGCCACAATGGCTGGAGCTGAGCTGATCCTAAGCCAGGAGCCTGGAGCTTCTTTCGGGTCTCCCATGCGGGTACAGGTTCCCAAGGCCTTGGGCTGTTCTTCACTGCTTTTCCAGGCCAAAAGTAGGGAGATGGGTGGGAAGTGGGGCCTCCAGGATTAGAACTAGTGTCCTTATGGGATCCTGGCCTGTGTAAGGTGAGGACTGTAGCTGCTAGGCCACTGTGTTGTGCTTCAGGCCTACATTTTAAAATCAGCTACAGTTAACTTGCTGTGAACTGATCATAGCCAGGAGCCATTGGATGCTACTATGAGAAGAAAGGTCCTTCCTGTTGGCCCCAAAGAAGCAGTTAGGAAAACGGGTCTTCTGTTCTTAGGGTCATTCCAGGAAGAGAAAGGAGAACCGTCTGTCAAATTTTTCCACGTGTCTGGCGGGGTAGATGGGGACATGGCATCATCAGATGACTTCGACTGGCCGCGGTGAGTAGGACGATGGTTAGGCCTATTAGGATTTTCTTTGTAAGAATAAAATTTTGTGGTCCTTTTAACAAACATGTGAATTTAAGCCCCATGTTGTGTAGCCTTGATGAGAAATCCAGAGAATGATGGGCAAATCAAATGAAAGATTAGTAGAGTCTTATTCTCTGAAAGGTGTGTGTCAGATACTTGAAAAGATAGAATGAAACATAAAATGTCTTCTTATCTGCCTAGGCTGTGTGGAGGGACAAAGGAGTCACCCTTTTTTTTTTTTTTTTTTTTTAAAGATTTATTTTTATTATTTTTTTTTATTGGAAAGGCGGACATACAGAGAGGAGAGACAGAGAGGAAGATCTTCTGTCCGATGATTCACTCCCCAAGTGAGCGCAACGGGTCAATACTTTTGCCGATCCGAAGCCAGGAGCCTCTTCCGGGTCTCCCATGCGGGTGCAGGTTCCCAAAGCTTTGGGCCGTCCTCGACTGCTTTCCCAGGCCACAGGCAGGGAGCTGAAAGGGAAGCGGGGCTGCCGGGATTAGAACCGGCGGCCATATGGGATCCCGGGCGTGCAAGGCGAGGACCTTTAACCACTTGCGCCACTGCGCCGGGCCCAGGAGTCACCTTTTTATGGATAATTTCAAGGCTGAACTAGAGATCCTAATGGACCGCTTGGTTAATTGGCAGGGATTGTGGAATCACTGATGTAGGCCAGCATTTTTGTTTTCAAATCTGGGGAGCTCTGCCCTGAGATTCGGGGCGTGGCCTCGGTGTCAGGAGCATCATCCTGAGATTCGGGGCGTGGCCTCGGTGTCAGGAGCCTTAACAGTTAACATCTGGTGATTACACCTGCTGCAGCTCGCCTGAGAACTGAGAACTGTCGCTCCGGGATTTCTCAGGCAGGACACTTCTTTCCTTAAATTCTATCAGGTGGATGGTGGGCTTGGGCCATAGTTTGAAGAACTTAGTTTTCTTGAAATGATGAGCCATCATTTTTTAAATAATAAATTTATTTTTGATGATGTTTGTATGGTTAAGAAGGATGCATGCCGATGTGGACCACTGATTAGGGTGGGACGAGACAAGGAGTGGGGGAAAGTGGATGAGATGTTTCTTCCATTTTTTTTTCCCTTCTTGTATTGGGTGGAAGCTGAGGGAGATGGGGAGTGGGCTGCTCTCAGTAGCCTGAGTAACCCAGTACCCAGGGATGGGGAGTGGCCACTCTGTCATCTTGGCCTCCCCGATGTGGGGCGTGTTCCGAGCTTACTGCTTAAGTGGTTTTCATAGTTTTGAGATGCTGGTTTTTTTTTTTTCCAAACTTGTTTCATGTTTTATTTTTTAACTGCATTAGTTTGCATGTAACTTCTTTACATCATTTCCAAATGTTAGAAACTTCCAAATCAGCACTAATTAGCTGTCATTAATCTACAGAGTAAAAGAACAGAAAGGGATTCATTAACGACTTAAAACTGAAAATGTCACTGGAGCTATGAATAACTGTAAATAAACTGTAATGAGTTATAGAGTAGCTGAGATCTTATAAACTGTCTTTGGGCAACTTGGGGACTTGTATGTGAGTCATGTTTAATTACAAGAGGCTGGTAGCAATTATGTTCCTTCTAGCAAATCAATCAAAGTCTCTGCAAGCAAAACAAAGGGTAGAGAATACAGAAGACATGCGTCTTCTCACACAGAGCCGAGTGTTGAGCAGAGACGCGCGGACACTGCTCTCGGGCTGGCACACGGACAGCACCAGTCCGTCACGACCGCTTCCCGGCCCCGCGAGGCAGCAGGTGCTCCAAGCTGTCCGATGCTGCTGATTGTGTTGCTCCGAGGCCCTTTCGCTGACATAGCTCACCTTACAGTCTCCACCACGGGGACGCTTGCCGTCCAAGGTTGGTTGGGAGAGTTGCCCAGTTTGGCCTCCCCTCCATCCTCTGCCGTGGAATAGACGTGCTCTGTGGGTCACGGTCATGGTGACCTGCTGTTACACTGAAAATTGAGCATTTCTTGGCAATGACCCCATTTCTGCCATTTTGTGCCTCCTTTCTTTACACAGCCTCCTTGACACATGTAGGAAGGAGTTGTCAACACATGCCTGGTAATAAACTTGAGTTCTCAGTGGAAGAATTGGACGGCATTGATTAGGTGATTTGGAAGTGCAGTTTATGTTAGGATGTGTGTAAATCAGGAAGCAGGTTGCGATGCTTACTGTTATGTTTGAGCGTCATGCCGTGTCATGACTTGGTTGCCACAATAGTGCAAAGACAATAGAAACCCTGTGTTCGTGGTGCTCTGCAGAAGGTTCCGGAAGCAGTGCGATGATCCAGGAGCTAACTTGGTGGGACTTACAGTTTGTAGCTACAAAAGAAAAACAGCATAAGCCATTTATTACTGAAACTCCTGAAGCAAAAGGTAAATTTCTTGTTGGAGGGCAGGTTTTCATATATTTGCCAGTTTTTGAAAACCTCTCGGGCCCGGCGGCGTTGCCTAGTGGCTTAAGTCCTCACCTTGAACCCGCTGGGATCCCATATGGGTGCCCGTTCTATCCCGGCAGCTCCACTTCCCATCCATCTCCCTGCTTGTGGCCTGGGAAAGCAGTGGAGGACGGCCCAAAGCCTTAGGACCCTGCCCTATGTGGGAGACCTGGAGGAGGTTTCTGGCTCCTGGCTTCAGATCGGCACAACACTGACTATTGCACTCACTTGGGGAGTGAATCATTGGACAGAAGATCTTCCTCTCTATCTCTCCTCCTCTCTACATATCTGACTTTGTAATAAAAATAAATAAGTCTTAAAAAAAAGAAAACCTCTCATATGCGTAGATTTCAGTTGCTTTTGCATCAAAACATTTTAGTTCCGTTTGCCACAGTATATTGACATCCCTTTGTAGTCTTTCTTTTTTTTTTTAAAAAAAGATTTATTTATTTTTATTGGAAAGGCAAATACACAGAGAGAAGGCAGAGAGGAAGATCTTCTGTGTGATGGTTCACTCTCCATGCAGCCGCAATGGCCGGAACTAAGCCAACCCGAATGCAGGAGTCAGGAATTTCTTCCAGGTCTCCCACGTGGGCCCAGGGTCCCAAGGCTTTGGGCCGCCCTCCACTGCTTTCCCAGGCCACAGGCAGGGAGCTGGATGGGAAGCAGGGCCACTGGAACACAGACTGGCACCCATATGGGATCCCAGCGGGTTCAAAGTGAGGACTTTAGCTGCTAGGCTATCGCACCGGGCCCAAACCTTTTCTAGTCTTAATCATTTTCTGCTTTCTCCTGTCTGAACAGTTTATATAACACCAAGTTTCTTAGGTAGGCAAGTATTCCATCATAGCAGGAGACTGAGAATAGGGTAAGTGTAATAGCTGAACTTCTTGGATGAAGTGTGTTAGCCAGCAATGAACCTTTAAAAATCCCCTCCTTGCCTCATGTATTGAGTCAAGTGCAAGACAGTGGTGCCTCTCTTGTGTTGCTCTCAGTCCTGCACTCGCCAGTGTACAGCACGCTCACAGGCAGCTTACGTTAGACATACACAGGTTTTGTAAAGTTTAATCCTGGTCTTTTTGTTAATTTGCACCTGAGTTACAGATTTGTCATTTCTAATTAGGTCTTGATGTTGCTCTCTTGTCTTGCTATCAGGATTGTACTGAAAGTCAGCCCCCCCGCCATGCATTCCATTCTGGAGAAGGTAGCAGCCGAGGAGGAGGAGGGCCCCTGCCAGGAGGAGGAGGAGGGAGGCGCGCACTCCCTGAAGGATGTCTGGGACCTGAGGCGACCAGCCCCATCTCCTTTTTCTTCTCGTAGAGTCATGTTTGAGAATGAGCAGGTGAAGTGAAAACGTGGCTGGCTGCAGCTCTGCGTCGTTAATCAGTGCTGTGGTTGTTCTTGCTAGGGCTTTAATCCGTGACTGAGATGCTACTTTCCCTTGCTTAACTGTTGCATGCATATCTATTTATTAATGTGCAATGGATAGTTTAAGAAAATGGTACCACATAGAATGATTAATTTATGTGTCTGTTTTATTCTAAACTTGCTCTCTAGCTGGTGATGCCCGGAGACCCTGTGGAAATGACAGAGTTTCAGGATAAAGCGATCAGCAATTCTCACTACGTGCTGGAGCTCACACTGCCCAACGTTCACGTGACACTCCCTAAGAAAAGCTTCTATGAGAAACTTTATAACAGGTGAGTTGAAACACATCTGTGTGAAATTTTTGGAATCGGGTTTTGCTGCCTAACTGCTTCTCCTGCCCGGCTTCCCACCTGGCTCTCCTTGCTTTCCTGTTTATCTGCCGCTGCAGTGTTATTTGTATGGTGTGGATGGTGGCTGTGGAATACTGCCAGTGTCGTTTTTATGGTCATAGCAGTTTCCTAACCAGTGTGCGGTGTCTGAGTTAACTGTTGTGTGAGTCGTTTGTGTTGTGTTAGCTTACCGGAGGACACCAAGCAAATTCCATCTATTGTCTGTGAGAAGTGATGTAAAACCTGGGAGACACTTGTACAGACGCCAGCAAACATTGTGGAATAGAATTGGAATCTTAGAGTCAGTTGTGCAGTGAGAATCTGTTCTCAGAATTCAAAAAAGGCCTTTCGTTGGCTTTCTAAACTCTTAATTCACAGACTTACGCAAAGGCCTTTTCACAAAGGATGAGCCACTAGCAAGTGAATTTCTTCGTGTGTGATGCATTTGTTCATAAGGCATTGTTTATAATTTTTACTTCTGGTTTCTTTAAAGTATAGGGGAAAAAATATTCAAAGCATTCAGAAAGCAGAATGCTCGTAAGGATTTGAAACTCTTTTCACCCTGACCTGGATACTGAAATTGTTCAGTTATGGCAGTATTTAATTAAACCATACTTAGAATAACATACAAGTAGCTTTGAGGCTAAGCAAAAGCAAGACTTGGTGAATATATGAGATTTATAACTTAACTAATGGGAGCGGGTTCTCAAGGACCCTGTGAGGTTCCAGCTTTCTTGGAAGCACAGAGGGGAAGGGAGGCGGCTAGGCCCAAAGGGCAGATGAGTGCAGACACGTAGGGTGCCGTGGTGGCTTAGCTGTGACTTCCTCAGCCCGCTCAGTGAGGACGTCCAGCGCTCATCACTATAGATGATGCTACTGTAGCTAGTGAAGCAGGTCTTGCTCACTGCGTTCCCTGTTGTCTGTGCGTTCCTGGTCAGAGGCAGTGTCCCCAGGGAAGCAGGATTTTCTTTGAGGAAACTTAGCTGGGAGCTGAGCACAGCCTGCATGCCTGTTCAAGCTCTTGTAATGAGCTGTGTGACTTGGGGCAGGTTGCTTAACCTTATGAGGCAGTGAGAGTTGCGACTCCCCAGGCTGCCCCACAGGATCGTGTAGGCGTGTCCAGTGAGGTGGTGTCTTGTCACATGCAGATTACAAAGCTCTCGGTGTGCAAATAGTCTTTCTTTTGTTCTTTGTGAATTTTTCTTCTTAATTGACTTTTGCCTTCAACGTACAATGGGATGTATATATGAGTTTGATATTTGATGCTGTAACAGGTAAAACTAGGCAAGTATCTAGTTAGGTATCTCATTAAGTAACTCTCTTTCATTGCCCTGCATTTATAGCCACAGTGGTTATTTTTCTACTGAGAAAGGTGTTGTCTTTAACACTCTTCATAGTGAGGGTTGATGTGATGGCTCAATTGGCTGATCCTATGCTTGCAAGCATTGGCATCCCAACTGGATGTTAGTTCATGTCCCCACCTGTTCCACTTCCCGTCCAGCTCCCTGCTATGTCTGGCCTAATACCCTGGGCCCCTGCACCGGCGTGGGAGGACCCGGAAGAAGCTCCTTGGGGAGTGGATCAGTGGATGGGAAATCTTTCTCTGTCCTCTTTGTAAATTTTATTTTCTAATAAAAATAAATAATTCTTAAAAAAGAAGACAAACTTTCTTGGGATCTAATTTTCATTCTACCATTTGAAAAACATAGTCATTGTTCAGAGATGCTTGGTCTGCCTTGAGGGAAGTGGCAATATGCTTACCTCGCGACCTTCCCTTGGCAGGGTCTTTAACGACTTGCTGCTGTGGGAACCCACGGCTCCTTCGCCAGTCGAGACCTTTGAAAACCTTTCCTGTGGCGTTGGGCTGTCCGTGGCCAGCCAGCTGATCAATACTTTCAACAAAGATAGTTTTGGTCCACTCAAATCAACAGTTCATTATGGTAATGTATTTTCAATTTCTTGTGAATTAAATGTCTTGATTTATTCATATATTAACATGATAACCTTTTTACTTGTGAGTTTTAAAATATCTGACTTTTTCCTATAAGTAGCTATATTTTATACTTTGTTTTAGTAACTTATGTTTCTCCTTTCTGTGTGTATATGGAGAATTCCACTCACTTGAATCTGTTGCCTTTAGTGCGACAGTATGCAGATTGCTTACAGTTTAGAACTAAAGAGGAAACTATAGAAAGTGCATTCGGATTCATCATGTTTGTGAAAATCAGCAGGTTACAAATGTACACCATTTCCATGAAAAGCTGTAAGTTGCTGTTGTGTTTCAGGAAGTGATCAGAACCCCGTAACTGTGTGTTTGTTCCCGTAGACGAGGAAAGCGGATCTGAGGAGGAGACTTTGCAGTATTTTTCCACTATTGATCCCAACTGTCGTTCCCGTAGGAAAAAAAAGCTCGACTCTCAAAACAAGAACTCACAGAGTTTTCTCTCAGTTCTTTTGAATATTAATCATGGATTAATGGCAGTGTTCACAGATGTAAAGGTAAGATTTACGAATCCGGTGATTGTTTTGTTTTTCCTGCAAATGTACCTTCTTCTGCCTTTAGATAAATGTACTGTGGTACCCATGTGTGGATTGCAGTGGGCCGAGCTGCTTCCAGGGCCTGTTGGGGACCAGCATCTGCCCAGCAGCAGCAACAAGGGCAGGTCACCATCTCAGCTAACCACGCTGCGCGTAGTAGCTCCAGCCCGTTTCAGCAACGGCACTGATTCTGCTCCTGGGGTGAGGGGTGTTGAGGGGTGTTGAGGGGTGGGCTGTGGAGAGGAAGCTGGAGCGCACGGAGCTGCTGGGCTGGAGTCACACGGCGCTGAGTGCCTGGGCCTCAGGGCCGTTCTCGGCGCTCACCGACGAGGCTGCTTTGAAATCCTCACCTCATTGGGGAAAGGCACATACGTGAAATGGAAAGGAAAATTGGACTGCTTTGCTGTGATGTCAAGATTTTTCCCAAGTTGAATCAAAAGTCTTTACTTTTCTGTAAAAAAGAAACCAAAAAAACAAAAAATAATTCTTTATTTTTCACACAATTTGATGCCTTCCATGTTTTTCTGATGTTTTTGTTAGCAAGATAATGGAGAGCTGTTGGAAAACAAGCATGGTGAATTCTGGTTCGAGTTCAGCAATGGCTCTTTGTTTTGCGTGACAAGATACGAAGGTTTTGATGATAAGCACTACGTTTGCCTTCATTCCAGCAGTTTCAGCCTGTATCACAAAGGTAGGAAAAATGTGTGACGCTGGGAATGATGTCTGTGGGTGGGAAGTCATCGGATTTCACTGCTAGGTCGGCTTTATGTGAGGCAACACCTTAATATACAGTCCACCTATTTGAAGCACGTTATTCAGGGCTGTTTTCAGCATTTCACAGCTGTGCAGCTGTGACGACGGTCTGTAAGTCCAGACGGTTGTCGTTACCCAGGCTGTGCAGGTGGGCGTACAAACGCAGACGCACGGGATGGGCTGCACCCGCGCAGCAGGTGAACATGAAGCAGAGATGAATTTTTTGTTCGGGCTTGGGTCCTCTCTAACGTAGCTAACTCTTTTATATCTGTATCTGTCTGTGTTAACCACAGTGCTCAGCCTGTGTGGGTTTTTGTTTTCAACAGCCGGGTGCCAGGAGTCACGTGGTGACTCTTCCCCTCCCTCTGCTTCCAGGTGTGGTGGATGGGGAGATTGTTCCCGCAGAAAGCCGCCTGCCCACCTCAGCACGCCCGCACTGGCTGGAGCCTACCATTTACTGCTCCGAAGAAGACGGCCTCAGCAGGGCTTCCTCCGACGGCGTGGGCGATCACCCCAACATGCTGTCCGTGGCGGTTAAAGTACTGTGTGACAAGTCCGAGTCCAACACGAAGGTGTGCACTTGGAAAGTTTGTACATTCAGCACGGAACTGATCACAAGCTAGGAACAGTGCGTCAGAGGGGACATGGAAGCACGGAGGGGTGGGTGTGTCAGTGACGAATGCCGTTCCCTGTCTTCTGTGTAGGAGTCCCTGATCGCTGTGGGGCTGAGAGGAGCCACGCTGCAGCACACCGTGCTTCCCTTGGGGCTCAGCTGGCATGAGCAGGTGAGTGCCGTGAGGGACTTAACAGTGACACACGTACCCGTAGGCTCACGTGTACTGGTGTTCATCTTAGAATTGTCACACGGGGAGTGCTGTGTTTCTGTTGCTGAGGGTGAGAGCTGTGGCATTGTTATGATCTCAGAATGGAACTGGTCTTGTACTTTGGATTTTGGCCTAGCAGTGAAGACACTGGCTGTCACCTGTGTCCCGTATCAGGGTGCCTGAGTTTCCAGCCTTCCTGTGATGCATACTCTGCAAGGCAGCAGGTGACGGCTCAAGGATTGGGTCCCTGCCACCCCTCTGGGCGGCCTGGGTGGGGTTCCCAGCTCCCAGGTTTGGCCTGGCCCAGACATAGCTGTTGAGGACAACTGCAGGATCAGTTAGTGAACGAGGGCCTGAGTGCTCTCTGTGTGTGTGTGTACGTGTGTGTGCGTGCGAGTTACGCTTTTCTGAGGCTTCTCTGGTGTTGCACGGGCTTCTTGATTGCAAACTCCTGTTTTGTGTGTATTTTTTAAAACTTTTTTTTTTTACTATACAGTTGTAATTGTAGAGCTTTTTTTACGTACTTCCTGAAGTGATGATCATACTTGGACACATCACACAGCCCACCAACTTTGCTAGTTACTTTTCAGGAGTGGTCTGGAAGAACAGTTCTTCAAAATGACCTTGTTTCTTTTAGCAGGGTGATTTTATAATCATTGATTTTTTTTTCCCATAAGATACTTTGTTTTTATAGTGGTAGCAAGCAGATTTATATTGAAAACTTTTTTTCTTCTAAAGCAGGGCCTTTGTATTTTTGATTATAGATCTTACACTTCTTGAATATTGCTGATGAGCCTGTGTTAGGGTATAATCCTCCAACTTCGCTGACGACATTTCATGTCCACCTTTGGAGCTGTGCGCTCGATTATAGGTAAGATCACAGACTGATAAAATGTCTTTATTTGGGTCCCACGTTTTGGAAGTTGATGGAACTCAGCATGCATTTTAAAAGAATTCTTGTGATGGCATTGGGTTGACATTCTGCTGTTTGTCTGGTGCCAGGCCACTTTACTTGCCCATCCGGTCTCTTCTCACCGTGGAAACATTCAGCATTTCTAGTAGTGTTGCGTTGGACAGATCTTCCTCCACTCTCAGGTACCGTGCCAGCTTCCCTCGCCTGCTCAGTGGAATTCTTCAACCTGCTGCGTGTTTGCCTCAACCGTCTTATTAAAGTCTGAGTCTTCTGTCAAAAATCTTATTCTACCAATAGCTTAATCTATATAAGTTACTCATTTATTTTCTCTTTCTCAAATAACTCATTTATTTTTTTTTTCACTATTCCTTTTTTAAGTAAGACAAGTTTGCAATTCTTATTTTGGTTTTTGAGACGTAGTAAACTTCACATAGTGCTTTATAACTCATGCCTTATCTTTATATACTCTATGTTTATAGTTTGAAACATTTTGAATATGGACATCTATTTTAAGATTTATTTTCATTGCAAAGTTAGATATACAGAGAGGAGGAGAGACAGAGAGAAAGATCTTCTGTCTGTTAATTCACTCCCCAAGTGGCCACAACAGCTGGAGCTGAGCCAGTCCGAAGCCAGGAACCCTGGAGCCTCTTCTGGGTCTCCCGCATAGGTGCAGGGTCCTAAAGGGGCCATCCTTGACTGCTTTTCCAAGGCCACAGGCAGGGAGCTAGATCAGAAGTGGGACCACCGGGATTAGAACCGGCGCCCATATGGGATCCCAGTGCTTTTAAGGCGAGGACTTTAGCTGCTAGGCCATGCTGCTGGGCCCTTGGACATCTGTTTGAAAAGAGGAAATGAGCAGGTGTTTGGCCTCATGGCGAAGCTACTCCTGTCCTTCATTAAAGTGCCTGGACTTGACTCCTGTCTCAGGCTAAGGACTCCAGTGTCGTTCAGTGAGCACGTGGGAGACCTGGATTGTGACTTTGCTCGCAGCTTTGCTCCGTGACCCAGGTGTCTGTGGAGTGGCCACTGGACGAGGGTGCCTCTTTTTCTCCCTTTTGCTTTTTCTTTCTCTCTCTTAAATAAACTAAATACCATTTAAAAAAAAACACCCTTAGAATTAATTTGAACAAACAACTTAATCTAACTTTACATATCATTTTGCTAGCATGCATGAATAATGGATATTTTAAAAAATTAGATGACAAGTCTAAGTTAGAAAATGCACATGGTTTTAATAGTGTACGTATCCGGAAGAATGATCCAGTGAAGTATGCAATGATCCTGTGATCATGTTTTCAAAATTTAGTTTCTCAGTTGTTGCCATAATCTTTTTTTCACAGAATAATTCTGGATGAAGCGGCTTTACATCTATCTGACAAATGTAATACCGTTGCTGTGAATCTGAATAGAGGTAAGAGTTAAACAAGGCCGGGAATAGATGCATCCTAGGTCCTTTGTTGCATCTGAATGTTTTCAGCATTGTAACTGTGATAATACCAGTGAACTGAGAGTCTCATGAAGGATATTTTAAAGACTAAAGGATCTTTAAGTATGTGTTAATCATGGAGACTGTATTCAGAGCTTAGGTTTTCAGATATGGGTTTTTCAGTTTGAGATGGCAATATATAAAATTATATATGCCCTCAATATTTAATAAGAACATAACTAAACTAAAATAGATAATAGGGGGCTTTGAGGAGTAAAATTATATTTCAATTGTATTATAAATACTTTTTTGCACTGTCTGTAGTGAATTTTAAAGAACCACTAGTTTGATTAGGAGTTGGTTTGATGGTTTTTGAAAACTGTACTCAGATCCTCTTACTGTTTGCTTTTTAAATACCTTTAAAATTTTTTTTGATTACTTTTGACAATCATAGATTACGTACGTGTGATGGATATGGGGCTGTTGGAGTTAACTATAACTGCAGTCAAATCTGATTCTGATGGAGAACAAGTAAGTTATTGGGAGAAATGGTCATTGTTATTCTACTTTTTTATAAGTTAAAAAACTTCTATTTTCCATAAAGTTATTTTCCTATAAGCCTAATTTTGCTCAAAGGAGATTAAAAATGTTTTAAAAATTAATATTGACCCTTTGTGAGTACTTTTCCTGTGGCAGGACAAATTATTGTATGTTTTGTTTACTCTAATTCTTTGTGGAAGGGAAGTGTGTGTGATCTGTTGCTTGGAAGGCGTCTTCATGTTCTTCCCCGTTGCTCCGGCAGCCCGAGTCCTGCTTTGAGTTGCACTGCTCCAGCGACGTCGTCCACATCAGAACTTGCTCAGACTCTTGTGCTGCCTTGATGAACCTCATTCAGTACATTGCCAGCTACGGGGATCTGCACGGCCCTGCCGAGGCCAGTGTGGCGCCTGGAGCCCTGCGGAGAAGGACACAGGTACAGGCCACAGGGTTGCTTCACCGTCCCTGCTTGGAGAGTGACCCGTCTTTGAGATTTTATGACAGTCATAACTTAGGAGAGAGACTGAGGGCCTGGTGTGATGGTAGAGCAGAAGAAGCTGCCTGTTGTAGTGCTGGCTGGTCTACTCCGTTCCTGCTCCCTGGTGATGGTCTGGTAAAAGCCCAGCATGACCCCATGTCAGGTCCATGGCTCAAGAGGGAGGCCTGAGTGAAGCTCCCTGTCCCTGGCTCCTGGCTTCAGTCTCCTGGCCCCAGCCATCGTGGCCATCTTGGGGCTGAACCAGTAGATGGAAAAACTGTCTTCTCTGAGCTGTGTTACTCTGACTTTCAAGTAAATAAGTAATATTTAAAAGATAACAAGAGAAAGAAAAGAAACTTGGACAAGTGCCCTCTGCTCGACTTGGACAGGAGAGGTCCTGAGGGATGACCCGGCCTCTGGAAGGCAGCTTGCTATGTGGTGGCTTTCTGCTCAGAGCCACTCTTGCCTCCGCCCTCCTGATATTTCATTCCTCAACTGAATGGTTTCTATGGGTCCCTGCAGAAGAAAGAAGCCATTTATCATGATAGAGTTTGATCTGTACCAATTTTTTTTCCAAGCATTTGTTCTTATTGAAATGGCAGATAAGATTTACAGAGAGGAGAGATAGAAAGATTTTCCATCTGCTGGTTACTTCCCCGGTGGCCACAACAGCTGGAGCTGAGCCATCTGAAGCCAGGAGCCAGAAGCTTCTCTGGGTCTCCCATGTGGCTGCAGGGGCCCAAGGCTTTGGGTCATCTTCCACTGCTTCCCCAGGCCCTAAGCAGGGAGCTAGATGGGGAGTGGAACAGCTTGGACACAAACTGGCACCCGTGTGGGTTACTGGCTCTTGTGAGGTGAGGATGTAGCCATTGAGCTGCCTTGCCAGGCCTGGTCTATGTCAGTGGCATGTAAAGCTGTTAGGGCATTTATTTCTACAACGGCACCTGCTCTGCTTGGTTTCTGTAGTACTACCCGGTTTCCAGCTTACTTTCTCATGTGTAATGTTCTCTTTCCTTCAAGAAAGCGCAGAAGGTGAAGATTGTTTTACAGAAGAATGAGTTGAGGCTCAGAGGGTTTGGGTGATTTTCCCTGTTGGTACCACAAACATTGGCAGACCCAGATATTTTGGGAACCGGTGTGGTGGATTCGTATCCCTCAGGGTCACTTTCTGACCACTCCTGTGGCCGGACTGGCTAGCGGCCATCGTTGTTGTTCTGCCTGGCCCCTCTGCAGGCACAGCTCACCATGCGCTGAGGTCATGTGCTCCTGGGAGGGTCTGGCTGGTGTTGGCTTACCTTTAGTCTAGAAGAACTTTACACTTCATTTGTTTTCATTTGCGACTTCCTGCTCCTGATAATAAGGTGCTTTTTGACATTCTGTTTATTTATTCACTTTTTAAAAGCATTCCCCCATGAATTAGAAGTCATTGCCATTTTTGAGTCATGTTCCCATTTAAAAGCATGGCTGGATTTCGTGTGTCTGTGGTCCGCTGACTGAAGCAGTGCTGGGACTGAACTCGGCAGCTGTCCTCCGGCCGTTAGGCGACCAAGAGACGTGGCTTTGTCTTGAGGGGTGACAGCGTCAGTCAGACTGGAGCAGATGGGACTCTGATCTGCCTCTCAGATTTTCTGTTCTTTTTTTTTTTTTAACTTTCTCCTCTAATCACCTCAAGATCCCAGTTTCTGGTGCTGACTTGAGGTGATGCCGATACTGCAAACAGAAAGCAGCAGGTGCCACAGAGTATGAGGCGTTTTCTTAAAAGATAGGGTTTTTCTAAGATACGATAAACAAAAATAGCTTGCTTCCTGAGACCATTTTCAGGTCTGCTTAATGAGGCTTTCTGGCTGTAGGTAGATTCCAGTCGCCACTCCTCTTCCCGTGGGCCGGTGCTTCCAGAAGCCGATCAGCAGATCCTACGAGACCTGATGAGTGATGCGATGGAGGAGATAGACATGCAGCAAGCCGCTTCTTCCGGGCTACCGCAGGCCAACGGTAAGGCCAGTGTGTTGCTGTAACCCAACACCCGAGGCTGGGTGCTTTGTGAAGAAAAGGGGGTCAGTGGCAAGGATGCTGTGTCACAGCATGGTGGAGAGGCAGAAGGAAAATGACCTCATGCCGAGGCAGCAGGCGCGTGGGGTGGTCTCACTTGTACCCACCTGCTCCTAAGGAGTCTGTCCCACTGCCTCCAGACAGATACTGATCCCTGCCCAGGCTGGTGTCCCCGCTGGTCTGGTGACCTTCTAGACCTCCTCCCTCAGAGGTCCAATCCCCACTGCGGCCAGCCCAGCACTGACAGAAGGTGGGCCATGTTCCCAGAGCACGGACGAGTGCCAGGGTGCTCAGGAGCGCTGCGGTTGCAGTTGAGGTTGCCATGGTCTGTTCTCAGTAAGTCACTTGCTGAACAACTCATTGAGTGGTGGATACGCAGCTCCGGGCAGGGTGATGTGGGGGGAGAAAGCTCGTGTCTTCTTCAGGAAGCGTTGGCCTGGTGCTGACAGTGGTGCTCAGAATGATTTTAGGAAACACAGACTTGTCCACGTCACTTCCTGCTTTCCTAGAGAGCTCTGCCATTACTATTCTGGTAGCTGCTTTGTGCTGAGGTGCTTTGGAAAAGTTATTTCGGTCTCAAATTCATAGTTAAAACAAGTAAATGAGATTTTTCAGGTGAAAGGACTCAAGTGACATGTATCAAGCAACTGATTAAAATGCTTAAGTGCGATTGCTGTTGGTGTTTCAGAGTTTGCTGGAGTGTTCTGATGTTTTTGTCTAGGTCTTATAGATGATAAGTGTCCAGTGCAGGAACCTTGCTGCTCTGATCTCTTCCTGTTTCCGGATGAGAGTGGGAACGTGTCCCAGGAGCCTGGCCCCAGCTATGACTCATTTACTCCCCACTTGATCAGTGATGCCATGACAGGTGTGCCCACTGAAAATGACGACTTCTGCATCCTGTTCGCACCAAAAGCAGCGCTCCAGGTAACCAAACGGCCGTATCACTGAGGCCTTAAACCAGCACTGCAGATTGAATTGACCAAAGATTACTAGATTCTTTCTAAGCTGCCTTTAGCACTTTGTAAATAGGTGTTTTCTTTTATTGTTTCAGTGCTGCATCTTTAAGAGTCTCTGAATGCTTATCATTTGCAGCATTTCCTACGTAAAATACTAAACAGCAGTGTACATACATGTACTAAGAGGACTTGCAGGGTCATGAAGTAAATAGCAGAAGGATGCGCTGCATAGGGTTGTTAGTGTAAGGATGGGATGAGAATGTGGTTTGTGGAAAGCATGATGGTTAACATGAGAATATTTTGAAATCCATGCGTTTGTGGAGTCATCAGATTTGTGGAGAATGCATATTATAAAGAAATTATGGATGGGAGCCGATGTTGTGGTATCCTGGATACGCACAGCCACTACCTGCAGCATTGGCATCCAGATGGACCCAGGTTCATGTCTCAGATGCTTCACTTCCCATGCAGCTCCCTGCCAAAGGCCTGGGAAGGCAAAGAAGATGGCCCAAATGCTTGGTCCCCTTCCCCTGCATGGGAGATCCAGATGAAGCTCCTTGCTCCTGGGTTGGGCCTGGCTCATGGCAGACATTTGGGGAGTGAACCAGTGAGTGGAAGATGTCTTTCTCTCCCCTCTCTCGAATTCTGACTTTCAAATAAATAAATAAATCTCTAAAGGAGAAACTATGAATGAATTTTAAAAATCTTTTGTATCGAAACACACATGCCTTTAGTTTGATTTTCTGTGAACTTTTGAAGTACTCTAGTGTTTGCATGCTTACATGTGTGTGTGAATATCAGATGACAATATTTAGTAAGTTTTTAGAACCTTCTAGTTAAAATTTAAAAATGAAAGTAAACCACTCAGGATAAATCTGTTACTAATTGTAGGAGTTGATCAGGGTTTGATTTTGAGTATGTTTTGACTATAACTTAATTAAACAAAATACACATTCAATCTGTACCTTTTATCATAAAATAACTAGCAAAATCCTAATTATAAACTGTTAAGAAATCCTGATATGGTGGCTGACATAGAGCCGAAGAGTGTCCATCTTATGGATGAGAGTTTAATATCTTAGGTGACAATTAATGCTTACACTTATTTTCCCACTATGTATTTTTTTTTTAATAAACTGTGAAAAGAAGGTAGAACCAAGACAATTTGCCTTGAAAGGCATAGCATAATCAGTTGGTCTTAGTAAGACAAGTATGTGTTACTGTTTTAGGAGAAGGAAGAAGAACCTGTTATAAAAGTCATGGTGGATGATGCAATTGTGATAAAAGACAATTATTTCAGTCTGCCCGTTAAAAAGACGGACGGTGGCAAAGCCCCGTGGCGCTTCCCGCTGCCCGTGACTCGCTACGTCGTGAAGGAAGTCTCCCTGGTCTGGCACCTGTATGGAGGAAAGGATTTTGGAGCAGCACCCCCTACTTCGCCAGCAAAAAGTTATGTGTAAGTTCATTTCTACACACTTTGTTAAACCACCATATTCTTTTTGTAGAAAAATATATAGTGTTTGTCACTTGAAGAATAATATATTTTTAAAAGATTAATTTATTTTTATTTGAAAGGCAGATCTAGAGAAGCAGAGACAGTGAGAGATCCTCTGTTGGGTGATTCACTTGCCAAGTGGCTGTTATGGCCAGAGACGGAGCAGCTTGAAGCCAGTTGGCCTTAGTAAGACAAGGATGTGTTATTGTTTTAGGAGAAGGAAGAAGAACCTGTTATAAAAGTCATGGTGGATGATGATGACCTGGTGCGTCTTCCAGGGCTCCCACGTGGGTACAGGGATCCAAGGACTTGTAACATCCTTTGCTGTTGTCCCAGGCACATTAACGGAGCTGGACTGGAGATGCAGCAGCTGGCTCCAACTGATACTCGAATGGGATGCTGGCACTACAGGCCGAGGCTTAACATACTGTGCCACGGCACTGGCTCCTTTTTGTGTTAAAGATTTATTGCATTTGTTTGAAAGAGTTATAGACACAGAGATCTTGCATCAGCTTATTCACTCTCCAAATGGCCACAGAGGCCAGGACTGGGCCAGACCAAAGCAAGGAGCTCTTGTGGGTCTTCTGCTTAAATTCAGGGCCAGAGCATTAGGCCGTCTGCTGCTGCTTCCAGGTGCATCGGGGAGTTGAATCAGAAACGAGTGGCTGCAAGTCTAATTGCCACCCATGCAAGATGCCCGCATCAAAGGCCATGGCTTAACCCACTCTGCCACAGCACTAGCCCTCAATGTTAGAACTGAAGTTTCCCATTTGTGGACTTATTTATATTTTTACTGGAATTTGACTAACTGAATTTCCAGTCAGCAAAAATTGTCAGACGTGGACCATGTTCTTCACAGAAGTAAGACCCAGCCTTGCCCTGATTCCCCGGGGAGAGGCAGCCAAGGATGTGAGGGAGAGGGTGAGCCTGGAGACAGAGGCTGTGCACCTGTGGGTCCCTCAGCCGGCAGAGAGTTGCTGCTCCCTGGGGACTGGCCCTGTGTGTGAGTGCAGCATGCCCAGTGCTGGAAGAGGGGCAAGTAAGGGCTGGTTTGGTGGGGACAGCCTCAGGGCATCATGGAGCAGTGGTGTTGGTACAACAGTTCAACGACCTTTTTTTTTTTAAAGATTTATTTTTTATTGGAAAGGCAAATTCACAGAGAGATGAACAGAAAGAAAGCTCTTCCATCTGATGGTTTACTCCCCAAGTGGCTGCAGTGGCTGGAGCTCAGCCAATCTGGAGCCAGGACTCAGGAGCCTCCTCTGGGTCTCCTAGGTGGGTGCAGGATCCCAAGGCTTTGGTGGGCTGTCCTGGACTGCTTTGCCAGGCTACAAGCAGGGAGCTAGAACTGAAGCGGAGCAGCCAGGACAAGAACTGGCACCCATGTGGGATCTTGGCGTGTTCAAGGCGAGAATTTAGCCTGTAGGGTATTGCCCTGGGCCCAGTTCAGGTACTTGTTCAGCCCTTCAAGCTTGCTTCTAGTTCTTGTTGCTTTTATCTGGGGTTTATAGCGCTTGTGCTGACTCTCAGGGGACAAGAAGCTCCCAAGGTTCTAAGTGTGTGTCATGAAAGGGACCACAGCCTGGCGGTTTTTCTTTAGTTCAGGATATTTAACAAGAAGGTTGCTCCAGGGCAATAGTAGAATGAACTTGGAGTTTACAGTTTTGATTCATGGTAGTATAACGTGGCGGAACAGCCTAATAGCTGCATCGTCTACATTGTCTCCATCGTGCTGCGTGTGCTCATGCCAAGCGCTGCCTTTCAGTGACCTCCACTAACAGAAGGGTCTTTTTTGTTGTTAGGAGCCCCCACAGCTCGCCTTCTCACACCCCCAGCAGACACGGCCGCAGTACTGCCTGTGGGGGGCGAGGAAGGAACCACGACTTTCTCATGGAGATACAGCTAAGCAAGGTGAGATGTTGTGTGAAAGGACCAGTCTGCTTAGGCAGGCAGTGAGTGGGTGTTTGGGGTTACCCACTCCCAACTCTGATGAGTCTCTTGAGCCTTAAACTCCATCTTTGTGTCGCTGTAACAGAAGACCACAGACACACACATGAAGAAAAACCAACCTTCCTTTCTTCCTATTTCTTTTTTCCTTTTTTAAGATTTACATATTTTTATTGGCAAGGCAGATTTACAGAGAGGAGAAACAGAGAAAGAGACGGCTTCCATCCATTGGTTCACTCTTCACATAGCCACATTGGCTGGAGCTGAACTGATCCAAAGCCAGGAGCCTCCTGCAGGTCTTTCATATGGGTGCAGGGTTCCAAGGCTTTGGGCATTGTTTGCTGCCTTCCTAGGCTGCAGGCAGGGGAATTGGATGGGAAGTGGAGCAGCCAGGACACTAACCAGCACCCTTATGAGATCCCAGTGCTTGCAGGAAGAGGATTAGCCAGTTGAGCCATCCTGCCAGACCCCAGTCATTTCTCTGTCACAGTTTTGAAGGAGGGGGAGAATCTGATCAGAGCCTTGTGCTGTTGTTGCCTGGCCTGGCAGAGAAGCCACTGAGCACATGGGGGACAGTGGCTGTGAGACTTGGCTGTTCTTTTTCTGAAGAATCCATCCCCGGGCCCGGCAGCGTGGCGTAGCGGCTAAAGTCCTTGCCTCGAACGTGCCAGGATCCCATATGGGTGCCGGTTCTAATCCTGGCTGCTCCACTTCCCATCCAGCTCCCTGCTTGTGGCCTGGTAAAGCAGTCAAGGATGGCCCAAAGCCTTGGGACCCTGTGCCCGTGTGGAAGACCTGGAGGAGGTTCCTGGCTCCTGGCTCTGGATCAGCACAGCACCGACTGTTGCACTCACTTGGGGAGTGAATCATCAGACGGAAGATCTTCCTCTCTGTCTCTCCTCCTTTCTGTATATCTGACTTTGTAATTAAAAAAAAAAAAAAGAATCCATTCCCAAGATGTTGGGTGAACTCTGAGAAGGCCTCACCTTTTAATACTGTTAGTCCTGAATGGCAGCTGGCCTGCAGCATACGTGTTGGAGGGGACAGTCAAGTCCTAGCAAGTCCCAACCCCTGACAGCGCGAGGGTCGTGTAGGAGAGTGTTAGCCTCTTTTGCTTTTTCTGAAGCGTCTGCAAAGACTCAGGTGTTTTGTCTTTTGTTTCTGGGCTGTTTCTGGAGCAGTGGCCCTCAGAGTTGAGCAGACAGACTACCCTGCTGCGCTTTCTGGAGCCCAGGCTTGAGGCCCTGCCCAGAGCCCGAGTCGGGGGTTGGGAGCGGGCTGCACTGACTGCGTTTCTAGTGAGTTCTCGCCTGGTGCTGCTGTCCTGGGGGTCCCTGGCTGGGGAGACTTGAATTTGGGCAGAGAAACCCCAACGATGGCCTTCATGCGTTGCGTCTGTCTGCTTCTCTTGGATCACCCGGGTCGTGGTTAGAACAGTTTTATTCAGTTGCGTCTTTAGTCAAGTTTGGAACTTGAACCCTGCTCCGTTTGATTTGTTCAGAGTCAGTTTCATAGACTTCACATTTTATTTCTGTTACAGTTTTTGCTTGAAAAGGGTGAGTGATTTTATCAAGCTCCAACGAGCAATGTTAGTTATGCTTATCCACTTACCTAGCCACAGTGCAATGCACACGTCAGTCAGTTAAAAAGATGAGGCGATGAAGTTTAAGAATGTCCGTTGTGCAAGACGAGTGGTAAGTTGAGGTAGAATTCCAAGAAAATGAGTGTTATTTTATGTTTTAAAGAGAAAGTCTAGTTTGGCTGCCTCATAGAGGTGACTGTGTGTCCCCTGGTCTGCTCAGGTGAAATTTCAGCACGAAGTCTACCCCCCGTGCAGACCCGACGGCGACTCCAGTCTCTCGGAGTACCCGGTGTCCCGGCAGGTGTTTGTCGTTCAGGACCTTGAGATCCGAGATCGCCTGGCAACATCCCAGATGAATAAGTTTCTGTACCTGTACTGCAGTAAAGAGATGCCCCGGAAAGCGCATTCAAACATGGTGAGATTGGGAACCTCAGGGCTTGTGTGTTTTTGTTGTTACATTAGCTTTGGAAAAGTGTTTTTGTTACATGTAATTGCAAGAGAATTACAATAGGGAAATTTACTGAGGTCAAATTGTTTAATATAAAAAAATCCCTTTAATTGTTCTGCTTAAAGTTTCATGTTTAAAATAGTTTTTTGTGTCATTCTGATTGATATGCTGTGCTCGCCTCAGCAGCACATATACTCAAATTGGAAAGATGGAGAAACTAGAGGTTATAGTGATTCACTCGGAGTGTTTGGATTGCTGGCAATGTCCCGCCGCTCCTTGCATCTTACAGGATGGAAGTGCTGAGCTTTCCTGAGAGGCTGACCGTGGCGTGTGAGCCGGTGGGGTCGGCTGCGGATTCGGCTCCTCTGAACCTGCAAATATATGTGTAGTATTTCGTGGGGACTGCATGTTTTACCAGATTCTGGAAGATGTTGTGACTCCAGAAAATCAAATTCAGGCTTTTAGGGAAAGAGGAGAAAAGGTTCTACTTTTGGTTCTGAAATAGGGTTAGGACTTTCTGAGAACACGGTCAGTGTATGTTTAGGGTAACATGTTGTTCTCGTCTTGCAGCTGACGGTCAAGGCGCTGCACGTGCGCCCCGAGTCCGGCAGGTCCCCGCAGGAGTGCTGCCTCAGAGTGTCGCTGATGCCACTTCGCCTCAATATTGACCAGGTTTGCCACGGCGCACCCCCACGGGCAGCACAATGGAGTCACATATGTTTATGTTTATTACTGTTGACTTTTTTGGAAGCTACGTAATTAAATGAAGATTTCTGGTAAAGAATAGGGCAGACTCATTAAATGGGTGAGAGCTGAGCCACTCACTGTCGGCTTGCTTTGGGACCCGGTGCTGGCGTGCTGCTCTTCCTGATCCTGTGTGCGTGTTCCTGATTCAAGCGTACACACGCGACAGAGGCAGAAGCCCTCCTGCTGGGGTGAATGCTGGAAGGGCCCAGGCTTTCATTGCAGCAGCTGGAAGAGAAAATTGTAACCACAAAGGTTTATAGAAGGGCGTGAAGAAATCCTCCTACCTGTTTCCTTGCAAGCATTCTGTCAAATTCTTTTTTCTTTTTTTAATGAGCCAGAAAGCTGTTTTAAAACAGTTGGTGCCTCTTCCAGAAGCCTTATTTAAGATAAACAAAAATGGAGTGTGTCTGGTGGTCAAGTGTAGGGAAAGAAATAGGGATTTGGAGTTTGACCTGGATTCAGATCTCATTTCTATGATTTTTAAAAAAGATGTATGTATTAATTTGAAAAGTAGATTTTATAGAAAGAGAGGTGAGGCAGAAAAAGGGGCGTTTCATTTGTTGGTTCACTCTCCAAATGGCCAGAGCTAAGCTGATCCAAAGCCAAGAACCAGGAGCTTCTTCCAGATCTCTGGCGGGATGCAGGGTCCCAAGGCTTTGGGCTGTCCTCCACTGCTCCCTGCACAAGCATGGAGATGGAAGTGTGGCAGCCGGGATTAGAACCTGCACCCATATGGGATCACAGCACATGCAAGGCGAGGACTTTAGCCACTTAAGCTACTGTGCTAAGCCCATCTTCCTAGTTTTAACATTGGATTTATTTGTCTTACTGATTTGGAAAGAACTTAGTGGCATGCCACCAAAATCAGGCAATTTTAACGTTTTGAAAATCTGATAATTAATATTTATTATTTTTGTGCATTTTTGTAAAAATGAATAAGAATTGTTCTCCTTAGTCTTAAAGAACAAATTGCAAAATTTTCTGCTGTTTTGAAAGCAGTCTTTAAGAAATTTGTAACATTAAAATATCACCACCTACTGGCCAAAGAGCATATACTTTTAAATGTGTAACACCTAAACGTGTGTCATGTCATACATAAGAATGATGCGTAAATGTGTCTAGAGGCTTTGGGGTAAAATGACCCAGCCGTGAGCCTGTCCCCTGCTGCAGGCCGCAGCGCTTCCCTGGGTGCTCTGCAGCCCCGGCCCTGCTCCCCCGTATGCCGTGTCAGTGTGAGTAGCTCTCTGTCTGCCTTGCATCATGTATACTTCTCATAACTGTGATCGTAGGCAGTGACATCCTCGTGAACTGGCAGGCTAACTTTTTAAAATTGGTTTCCAAATATTGTTTGTCACTCACCACCATTTGGTACATTGTTAATGCCATGTTAACTTTTCATGTATGGAAAGTTAAGACAGAGCAAGCAGCCGGCGTCTGGTTTTAACCTCTCCCCGTGGTATTTGTTAGGTTGAATGAAGTCAGTGAAAGGGGGCCGTCAGTGTTGGCAGCTGTGGCTCGCCCACACATATCAGGACAGCCAAAAAGTTTTCTTTGAAATTATCTGGTCTCAGAAGGGGTCACACTGAATGGATGATTTATTATTTTTTTAAGATTTATTTATTTGAAAGTGGAGAGAGATTAAAGTGAGAGAGGAAGAGAGAGAAATAGAAAGGTCTTCCATCTGTTGGTTCACTCCCCTAATGGCTGTGGTGGCTAAGGTTGGGCCACACTGAAGCCAGAGCCAGGAGCTTCTTGAGGGTCTCCCCGTGGGTACAGAGGCCCAAGGCCTTGGACGGTCTCCTGCTGCTCGCCCAGGTGCAGCAGCAGGACTGCAAGTGCAGTAGGAGGTGCTTCAACTCGTGCCCACACGGGGTGCCCGCATCCAGCCACTTCACCAAAGTTCTGACCCTGCTTTTGTTTAGTTTCAGTTTCTGGGTATCATGTCTGGTGCAGCGATTGCATTTAGGCAGCACAGTGTAGTAGCAAAAGAAGAAATAAGTCAATTGGAATTTTGATGAGCATAAGAGTATCCAGTGCATGCTAGCTTCTGTCATTACTGTTAGTAGATATTAACAGCATCAATTTAGAATGAGGACCCGTGTCAAGTAAGATTGAGAATGCCCCATGTCAAAGTCACACTGCTGGGTTTAATTTAGAAATCCACTGTGTCATTTTAACTTCTCTGTTTCCAATTTTCAAATCTGTAAGTCAGTTCTGTCTAAGAGTTGTGAGGACTTTTGCTGAAGAGGTTAGAGGAGGGAGGGGGCAGGAGAGGAGGCAGGAAGCGTGACGCAGAGTGGGGGTTCAGTACCTTACAGCTGGGTTTGACTGATGAGGAACACGGCAGACTTTCAGGTCGTCACTGGTGGCTGTAGAAGCAGGCACGCTTGCGTCCTTTGGGTTACGCTTGTGGCTTTCCTTTCAGGACGCCTTATTCTTCCTGAAGGATTTCTTCACGAGTCTCTCTGCAGAAGTGGAGCTTCTCCTGACCCCCGACCCAGAAGGTACCCAGCATGGCCCTCACCCTGCCAGGGGTGCTTGGAGAGTGTGTCCCAACCTGTTTCCATGTAGACAGATGTGTTGTTTTGTGTGTACCTTTGCTAATCAATGCAAAAGTAGTTTTTGCAGAAGCAATCACTTAAAAGGTGAAAGGGAATTGGCCCTAAATGGCACGTGGCTGACTTTCCCGCTGTGTGTGTTCCCCTTGCAGTGAGGACATCTCCCGGAGCTGATGTGACCTGCAGCTTGCCACGGCATCTGAGTACCATGAAGGAGCCAAATCTAGTTCTTTCCTTCCCTGGGCCCAAGCCACCTTCCCAGGGTGATGATGCTGGGTCCCTGGGCGAAGCTGATGGCACCAAGGACAAGGACTTCTCGGCCGCACAGGCATCATTTAGTGACCAGCCTGTGTTTTTTAGGTAACTGACCGTTTTCTGAAGATTGTTCTGTAGCGTGTGATAGTGACCATGGGGTTCTACGAGCTTGTCTTTGCTGTGCCTTCCACTAAAAGGGGGTTTTGTCAGGCCTCCTCCTCCCACGATGCCTGGACTCCCACCCTGCCACCGATGGTTGGGCGAGCACAAGGACAGGGAGGAGGTCTGGGTCTCAAGCGGTGCCAGGAGCCTCTCTGTGCAGCCAGCTGCTGACAGCAGCAGCACAGGGAGCCCTGCAGTGTAGCTTGTAGGATTTGCCTCCATCTGATGATGTGTCAAAGCCCAGCCAGTCCATACCCACTCAGGCTTATGTACGTGCCAGTGGGTACAGTTAGTTCACCTGGCTCTTCCCCTAACCCAACTCACACGCAGGCCAACAGGTGCTGTAGCCCTGCCTGGCCTGCTCCACTCTAGATCCTAGCTCTCATGCTCACCAGTGGGAGAAGTGGCCCAGTCGGGGAGCCCACTGCAGCCCTCCTACTAGGCTTGTACCCCTTTACCCTGGGTCTCATGTGTGCTGGTGGGTGCTACGGCCTAGTCTGGCATGGCCCTCATTACCTCAGCATTTGCCAGCAGGTGCTGTAGACTGGCCCAGATTAGCCTATCCTCAATTCCAGCTCATGCTGGCTACAGCAAAGCCCAACCCAGCCCAAACAGCCCCCCAGTCCCAGCCTGAACATGAACTGTTATTGTGGACTGGCCTGGACTGGCCCACCCACATACCTGACCCACACTTATGTTGGTGGGTACTGTAACTGGGCTGCTCCCAGCCATGGTTCCTGTGCTCAGCTGCAGGAACTGCGTCCTGAGACAGGAGTTCCCCAAGCTTCTGCATCAGTAGGTCTTGTGTACCAGTGGATTTTTGGCCCAGAATGACTTAGTCCATCTCCTGTCCTGGCAGGAACAGCGTAGACTATTTTTTTAGTTTATTTACTTTTATTGGAAAGGGAGATTTACAGAGAGAAGAGGAGACAGAGAAAGATCCTCCATTCACTGGTTTACTCCCAAATGACCACAGAGGCCAGTGCTGAGCTGATCAGAAGTCAAGAACAACTACTGGGTTTCCCACAGAGGGGCAGGCGTTGGGCCGTCCTCTTGCTTTTCCAGGCCACAAGCAGGGGGCTGGATGGAAAATGGAGCAGCCGGGATACAAACTGGCAGCAAAGGGGATCCTGGTGCTTGCAAGTGGAGGATGAGCCAATTGAGTCATGCGTGCCTCTCCACTAGACTATTTTAATAGCCTGCAGATTTCAGTTTCTATCTTCAAAAGCTCCCAAAAGATGTAGCAGGCTGAGAAGGTGCAATCCACACGACTGACCTCATGGGTAAGGAAGTGACTGCAAAAGGATGAGCTTGTCAAGGTTGCCGGTGGCTGGGTCAGGACTAGAACACAGGTCTCGTTGATTCCAGTGATGCTGTAATGGTCCCCTCCTTCTCCACGGACGTTTGTTCATTCTGCAGCTTTTCCTGAGCACGCACTGCATGTATACCAGGCTTTGGTCTAGACACACAAATGAAGGAGAGACGAATCCTAGTGTAATTTAGTTTACAAATAATTGGAATAGTTTGGTGCATTATGGACCATAGATGACAAGCGTGGGGAAGGAGAGGGCAGTGTGCAGAGAGAGGTGCCGGTGACGAGGGAGACCTTCTCCACTCCGTAGGCCAGGTGTGGATACCCTGTTCATGGCGAGGGTGATGTGAGTTTGGGGGAGCAGGCTTAATGCAGAACCATAACAGCTAATTTTATGCAGAGAAAAAAATGCATATCCGCTTCCAAATCCCCAGTTTATAACCAACTTTTAGAAGCCAGGTGTGTTTGTTGAGTGTTGGTGGTATACAAGTATAATTTGTCATGCCAATCCAGCATTTGTATGGCGATATCTGTTTAGCCATCCACGTTCACCTGCGTGACATTTTTAAACCTCACCAGAGCAGGTGTTGCAGCCCAGGGTGTGGCCATGTAGCTGACGGTGGGGGCTGGCCTGAGATGCACTGCTGCCCCTTCCCCATGGGCAGTTCTCTTTCTGCTTTTTGATAATAATTGCATCATTTTGCTTAATCTTGGTGGTTACCCTGATTAATTTGTTCCTTGTATGAATTAAAAATCACAATACATTTTTCTAATAGTAAACATCATTGCATAAACTGGGAAGATGATTTTGTTAGAAAATTTAAATATTGTATGGTAGCATAAGCACAATTTTTAAGATGGTTAATATTGTATTAAGACAGAAGTCAAAGACTTATTAGTTCGTAAGATATGTACATGATTGAATGGCTTTGTTTTTAGTATTCATTTGGATGATTTATTCTGTATAAAACTTCAAGTATTAGTATTTGAATATAAGTAATTATTTTCTTTATCCTTAGAGAATTTCGATTCACATCGGAAGTTCCTATTCGGCTTGACTACCATGGCAAGCACGTGTCCATGGATCAGGTTTGGAAATTGCACATATATCCTCTACTAAGTTAGCTCCTTTGTTGCTCTGATTTTAACTTTGTCAGTTTATACATATATTTGTCTATACACACACATTCACGCATACATACATATATCTGAAGTCAAAGCAGTTTTAGAATTATTATTTTAAAGCAAATAAAAATCATTTACTTAAATGCCTCAGGTAAATGTGCTATAGATTATATACAGACAGACAATGCACATGTGTGTCTTGCTGTAAGTATCTTCAGCGCTTTCAGAATCACAGTGGTGTTGGTGTTACTTCCGCTCTGCGTCCACGCTAACCTGCACTTTTCTGGTCCAGGGCACTCTGGCCGGCATCCTCATCGGCCTGGCTCAGCTGAACTCCTCAGAACTGAAGCTGAAGCGACTCTTCTACCGGCACGGGTGAGCGGGTGGCCGCACCCCGGGAAGCGAACAGCAAAGGAAATGTGCAGGAGCTGTTTTCAGTATCTCCTGTAGAGAGCTCATGTTTAGAGTAATTGGATTGACTAGGAGCAAATTTTCATTACACGGGATTAGAAGTAGTGTGAAAAGAACAGTATTTTTCACAAACAGCTGTAGTTTAGGACTCCTGTATGAATGGCAGATTGGTTTATCTGCTGAAAAGACCCAGAGTTCACAAGGTAACATTTTTAGGAGCAATTTGGTGGCAAGTTTGTAGACGGGCTAATCCTGTGCCAAGCTAAATGGTCAGGAGACTACGGGCAGTGGTTGGACTCTTCCATGTCACCACGTGGTGCAGAAATTACTGACATTAAGATTGGACTTTAAGACATGTATTAAGAGAAATTCAAATTGAGAAATGGCTGGTTGTTTCTTTTTGACTTAAGAAAATAAAATATTTGTTCTTAAAAATTGTTTTTTCACAGACTAACAAAAATCCCCTGATTTTATGTCTGTGGATCCGTTCCTCTTGTCTGTATTGTAATAGCCATTTGCTCTAGTTTACTAGGTGTTGACAAGTTGTTCTCATATGCACTCACTGAATGGCTTAACGACATCAAGAAGAACCAGCTGCCGGGGGTCCTGGGAGGAGTCGGACCTATGCACTCACTAGTACAGCTAGGTGAGTTCTCGTTCCTGCTCTGTGTGTGTGTGTGTTGTTTTAATCGAAAGGTAACTGTGTCTTCCTGGTGAGTCTCGGCCCTTCAAGGTCGCCTTTGAGTTAACATGAGTGCTTTCTTCCTGGAAGGGCCATATGTGTGCTCTCACCGCACTGTGGCCTGTTCCAGGAGTTAAACACTCCAGCTGACAGTAACAGCAACACTCCGCGCTCACTCCACTTTCTTCCTTGCCTGTTCTAGTGCAAGGCCTGAAGGACCTGGTCTGGCTGCCCATTGAGCAGTACCGGAAGGATGGTCGCATTGTCCGAGGCTTTCAGAGAGGAGCTGCTTCCTTTGGCACCTCCACGGCTATGGCTGCCCTGGAGCTCACCAACAGAATGGTGCAGACCATCCAGGTATCATTCCAGAGCATGCAGCAATGCTTGGGTCATTTTATTGATTTGTTTTGAATTGTTATTTTTAAAAGGTTTATGTATGTATTTAAAAGAAAGAGGAAGAGCTCTTTCATCCACTGGTTGACTCTCCTGATGGCCGCAGTGGATGGGGCTGGCCTGGCCAGAGCCAGGAGCCTGCAGCTCTGTCTGGCTCTCCCAAAAGGGTGGCAAAGCCCCGAGCGCTGGGGCTGCCTTCTGTTGCTTTCTCAGGTGCACTAGCAGAGAGGCGGATTGGAGCTGGAGCGGCTGAGACTTGAACTGGCACATGTGGGATGTTAGCATTGCAGGTGGTAGCTTAATCCAGTGGCTCACAGTGCCTGTCCCTGGCTGTATTTATTTATTTATTTATTTTTTTTAAAGATTTATTTTTATTATTTTTTCATTGGAAAGGCGGATATACAGAGAGGAGAGACAGAGAGGAAGATCTTCCGTCCGATGATTCACTCCCCAAGTGAGCGCAACGGGCCGATACTATGCCGATCCGAAGCCAGGAGCCTCTTCCGGGTCTCCCACGCGGGTGCAGGGTCCCAAAGCTTTGGGCCATCCTCGACTGCTTTCCCAGGCCACAGGCAGGGAGCTGGAAGGGAAGCGGGGCTGCCGGGATTAGAACCGGCGCCCATATGGGATCCCGGGGGTGCAAGGCGAGGACCTTTAACCACTTGCGCCACCGCGCCGGGCCCTGTATTTATTTTTTATTAAGATTTATTTATTTGTATTGGAAATGCAGATTTTGTGGAGAGAAGAAGAGACAGAAAGATCTTATTGGTTCATTTCTCAAATGGCCAGAGCTGAGCTGATCCAAAGCCAGGAGCCAGGAGCTTTCTCTGAGTCTCCCAGGAGGGTGCAGGGTCCCAAGGCCTTGGGCCACCCTCCACTGCTTTCCCAGGCCACAAGTGGGGAGCTGGAAGGGAAGTGGAACCTCTAGGATATGAACTGGTTCCTATAGGGGATCCTGTTGCTTAGAGGTGGAGGAATAGCCAATTGAGCCATTGCACCATGCCCCTGGCTTTATTTTTAAAACACTGGAAATATACAAAACACTGGGAGTAGGTATTCTGGTGTCATAGTTTTGTTGCTTTGGTATTCCATATCAAGTAATTAGAATAAAACAGCAGATGATGTATCCAGCTTGCTTGCCTATTTCACGTCAATTATGATCATTCAGTTAGTGGAGGATTTGCTTCACGTCATCTGCATGAGCCAGTCAGAGCTGGGCTTAACAAAAGCATCGCGGATGAGCGGTGCAGGCTGTGGCTACCGTGGATGTGCTGAGGGATGGCTCAGGTCAGTCCAGACGCTCGCTTTGAGCTTGTACTTAACACTCTGGTAAGGACTTCAAGCACAACTCTGGTGGCCGTGTGTGTCCCTGCATTCCAGCCCACTGTTCCACTGTCGCTGCCTAGCTGCAGACTTGTCCTAATACATGTCTGTCCTCTGACACGTGACACAGGCAGCAGCGGAGACTGCGTATGACATGGTGTCTCCTGGTACACTTGCCATCGAGCCCAAGAAGACGAAAAGATTTGCTCACCACCGGTTGGCCCAACAGCCAGTAGACCTGAGGGAAGGTGTGGCCAAGGCCTACAGTGTTGTGAAGGAGGTACGCAGAGTCAGGGCGCATGGGCCTCATGTGCTGTGGAGCGGGGTGCCAGTGGTGGGAGGAGGGGCTCTGGTGACTGATCCCCCCGGAGAGTGGTGACGGAGAACAAATGGGCTCGCTGTCTGCAGGAGAAGCGGGCAGGAGTGAAGGTGAGCTGCCCGGTCCCCGTCAGGCTCACGGTTCTACTCGGCGCTGTGCGCCTGAGACATGCCCCCTGTCAGATGGGTCAGCCACCGCTCCCCGTGCCGGTGCTTCACTCTGCAGGAGTTCTTAGGGATTACTTATGGGACACAGGTCCTCACAGCCAAGGCTTGCCAGGGTCTGTCTGTAAAGTTGACATGCACGGTGCCATGCTGTGTTCTCCACTTCTTCCATATCTCTGTCTACTGGTTGACACTTGCAGCTTTAGCCTAGATGGCTTTATGGTGTCTCAGGCATTGACTGGTCCCAGTTTATTAATTTCCTGCTGGTGGACGGATCCCCCTCAGAGGCTGCTGTGGGGGTGGCTTGCCTGGGCAGCTCCCAAGGCTGGGGTCCTCAGTGCCCACTGAGCGGTGTGAGCTCTCAGCGTGGTGATGCCACAGGGGTCTCCGGCCTTCTGAGTGCTGTTAGGCGCTCCCTGGCCTCGCCTTCTGGGATGTTCTTTGTAAGATGCCGTAAGGTAGTCTGTGATTCTTGTTTAAGCAGGTCTGCTCCGAGTCGTAGGCTGAGGCTGGCCGAGAGTCCCTTGGTTGCTCTGTGGTTTGGCGGGAGCATCCCCAGGTCCTGCTGGCAAGGCTGTGGAGGTGGGGCTCCCAGACATGTGTCATGGCTGACCATGGTGGGGCTGGTGGTCCCCTTTGCAAAAGAGGTTCAGCAGGGAGAGTGAAGAGAGAATGGCCTGCAGAGGTCAGGATTGGGCTGGTTACCAGCAGGCAAGGTAGAACTCAGCTGAGAATACTAGTGCTGGGGTTCAGGACGTGACAGGAGCAGTAGGCAACAGCTGGCTGTAGGGCAGCGTGCAGAACACCTGCTTTAACCGACGAGAATCTATCCCAGCTTATGCCAAGTGTGCAGTAATGCTAAAAGGCAGGTGGTGTTTCCAGGAGACCAGGGGCTCCCTAGTTGGCGGGGAGTGGGGGGGGTGGGGGGGAGGGAGAGTTGGTCTTGGAGCTGGGAGTAGAACCTCTAGGACTGATTTAGGGTTCGCTCGTGTCCCCCATGTTGTCGGTGGAGAGGGTATGGATTGAGTGCAAGGCTGTGCTTGACCAGACTGAGTGCCCCTCTGTGTTGGGAAGAGTTTTATGAACAGCTTCCTCGGTGTTGTAAGCACCTTGCTTGCTCTTCAGGTGCTAGGGAGCCGCAGGTGAGCACAGGCCAGGGCTGTCACAGAGCTGCTCGTCAGCTGTGGCCTTGGAGCCACGCATGGTTTTTACACGTTTAAAGGATTATAGAAAGACAAGCAAAGAACATGTCACAGACCGTGCTTTACATAGTTCCCTCTGGTGGTGATGGGTACCTCGAGATAGGCGGAGTAATTCAGCCATGATTTGTGGAACATTTATTATCTTCAAAGCGTCAAGTTCTCTAGATGAATTGTTTCATTTAATCCCACAGTCAACATAGGAGGTCAGTAGTGTTTTACTTTCGTGTTGAAGTGCCTTTTCCTAGGTACATGGATAAGTGATGGAGGTGAGATCTGAGTGTCCTGTGTGGTCTCCACACTGGAGGTCACTCTGCATGCTGGAACAAGGAGTTGGGAGCTGCCTCCTGGTGGTGGGACAGAGGAGGAAGCCCCGCACTGCGCTCACGGGCCCCCTTACTGGTAACCGTCAAACAGCAGGTGTTTTGCAGGACTTTAAGATACTTCTGTGTTGTTGTTCCCTGTGGCCCTGGGTGGTGACTGCGCCCTTCCTGGCTTTTCCAAGAGAAGAGTGGATTCTGTGTGAGGATGATGGGCCGCTGGTGTCCTTGGAAAACCTGTAGTTGCTTTACCATGAACCTGCCACTGGACCTGCCTCAGGGCAGGGGTGTCTTGTGGCCCATGAGGTTTCTGAGTTGGGTAAATGGTAACGATTCCAAATCCTGTGGCAGTTACTCAGCGGGCTGCCCTCCCCGTGTTGGCACTCGGCTTCCAGCATGAGCAGCCGCGACTGTGCGGGGCTGATAGATGGAAGAGGGAAAGTGCTGATGCAAAAGCTTTGCTTCTAATCGTTAAACAACTTCTGTCCTTCGTGTTCTCAGAATGTTCTGTTTAATCCTATAAAATGTCCTGTTTAGCTGTTTTATCTTAATTGAATGTTCTACAATTATCTTTCCTAGTACATAGCCAGTCATTTAAAACAAATTAAATAATTTTGTAGAGCTTAGTGGATTAAGTTTTCTTGTGTTGAATCAAAAAGGCTGTCACCATATTTTTATAGTGAGTGTGTTTATTCAAGGGGCTTTGTTTGCTGGGTTTGGTTTAACCGACGTGATTAATCGTGCCAGGCAAGCTACTCTCAGATCATTAAATGTTACTGCAAGCTTCCTTTGTGAAATGGTAGTTTAGCTGCATGTTCCACTCATTAGTGTCACAACAAAATCCTGAATCATAATAATTGCCCTGCTCCCTTGCAATTAGAATTTTGTCATAAACACAATTACCCTGGGTAATGTGAAAAGCAGGGTCTTGAAGGCATTTGTTTACACACACTGTTGATGAGCTGCACTAACAGCCTGTGCTATAGGCTCATTTGGTGAGCTTTCTGACCGGTCATTTGCTCCTTCCCTCTGCCTGTCTGCAGGGACTCACAGACACGGCCCAGACCATTTATGAAACTGCCGCTCGAGAACACGAGAGCAGGGGTGTGACCGGGGCCGTGGGCGAAGTGCTGCGCCAGATCCCTCCTGCCATGGTGAAGCCCCTGATTGTGGCCACAGAAGCCACAGCGAATGTTCTAGGTGGTATGAGAAACCAGATTCGACCGGATGTTCGGCAAGATGAGTCACAGAAATGGCGCCACGGGGGAGACTGAGGTCCCCAGCGTGACTCCGTGGAGAGGACACCAGGGGGGAGGAAGGAGAGAGTGGCCCAGGGCAGCTTCCAGTGTGACTTCGTGACTCCATGGAGAGGATGATCCGATTAGGGGAAGGAGAGAGTGGCCCAGGGCAGCTTCCAGCGTGACTCGGTGGAGAGGAGGACACCAGGGGGGAGGAAGGAGGGAGTGGCCCAGGGCAGCTTCCATGGTAAGTTTTACTGTGCTCATCTCAGGAACAAAAGCTTTTTTAAGTTAAATAATTTAACGTCAAAATAACATACAACCAAAACCTTGGGCCGCCGTAGGGCTGCTTTAGTACTGTCCCATCGTAACATTTGGTGTCTGGTGTCGAAGGTTCTTGAAAGTCTTCGCTGCCAAGTTTGTGAGATGCTTACCTTGCGGACAGCAGGTTCTCCCTGGGCTGGACCGGGTGCAGTGGAAACCTCCCGCAACAGCGTAGAGCAATCAGAAACGCTGGAAAATTCCCTTGGCCTAGCTCTGGGCACTCTTTCTCTCCAGGCTTAAAAGTCACAGCCTTGACCTTACCTTGCAAAGAGAGATGGAGGTAGAACAGATAGGCCGATGGGCACAGCAGTAGGAAGGTGCAGCCTGGCCCCCTGGCCTCCGTGTCCATGCCCTTGACAGCGTTGCTCCCATTTGCCAGAGATCCTTGAGCGTTTGAGAAGGTGAACCTGGCAGACGTGTTTCGCTGTGTCTACGTCAGCCCTGTGTGTGGTTGTCTCCACAGGAGTCGTGTGCTCTGTACTTTATAGAACTGACAACCTTTACTGCAGCGGAAAGAGGAGTGGATACACCCAAAGGTGACGTCAGCTGCCCCGCTTCCCCTGCGTGTCCGTGGAAGCAGGCGTTCTGTCCAGAACTGGCCATGGAGTTGTTTGTGTGTTCAACTTTTAACAGGTGTAGCACAGCTGATTAGGAATCTGTGGAAAGAGGCTTCGGTGGTTCTCATGCATCCAAAAACAGATAAAAATCCTCCAGCTATGCCCTGGCCAACTATATAAAGTACCATTTTTACCTGGTGAACAGTGTACATTTTGATAACCTGTCAGGAATGAATAAAGTATTTTTATTTAAAGGTAACATTGTTTTATGCCTCCATGAATGTTTTGCTTCTTTAGGAACTTGATCAGCTGATCATCGATACAGGCTGTGATTTGCCCCCAGGATATTTGGAAACACTTTCTTGAAACTGACTCTGGTGAATGTCAAGTCGTTGCCTGGGAGCAAAAGGGCAGCCCGGTCGGATCTGGCCACAGACAGTCTGCGGAAAGGAAGTTGGGAGCTGGTGTTTGCCCACCGTGTGCGGCTGCCGGACGCGCCCGTGCTGCGTGGTGTCTGCAGTGTGTGTGTCTCGTGGGTAAATGACACCAGTTTTATTCTCTAAGTATTCTGAGCGGGCAAGTGATGTCAACCAAAACTCCAAACCCTTAGAATCTGTATGTAGAGTTTTTATAAGCAGTTGCTTTGCCATCCCGGGAACGTGTGCTCGCTCCTGGCTGCGTGCTCCCTGCCTCGTGTAAGGGCACAAGAGGCTGTCAGTAACCTGTGAGGATATAGCTGAAAACCGCTCGAGGAGACTTCACCATGCAGGGCCCCCAGGGCCCCTTTCTGCAGTTATTGCAAGTTCAAGTTGAATACAGGGAGAAATACGAATTCTTTCTTGGTACTCCGAGTTGCAAATTAGGCTTAGGAATGTCGTGTGAGCATGCTGCCCTCAGGATGGTTGGGGGTTCTTTGTCACGCCTGCTGGTGGTGGACTGGCGGCGACACAGACCTGTTAACTCAGAGCCGTCTGCACACTCTTGCTCGTGTCAGCTTAGCCCATGCGCACTTGGGATGTCTGCATGACCACAGCTCGTGTTCTCCTTTTAAAAAGTCTTTTCTGCCTTCTGTGCTGCGAGGAGGGCGTGTTGGGCAGAGCCGTCGCACTGCCAGACTGTGACCAGGCAGGCGATCTGGCCGAGACATTTCCTCTCTGCAAGCACCTGGCTCTCTTGTGGCCCGGCTGAGTGAGGCGTTCAGAGGACGAGGCTGGATGTGCGCAGGCGTGGCTGGTGGTAAATGACACGGTGCTCAGTACAGTGGCCCCCGCCTGTGGCATGTGGCACTCGTGGACTTTGTGTGGCAATGCTGAGCTCCTTAGGCTCTGAGCTCTCGGAGGGAGGTGTACACGGCACTTGCCACAGCAGCAGGCTACACGGGTCCACTCTGCCAAGGAGTCCAGGGCAGGGGCGGGGTGCCGACACCTGTCGTGCTTCAGAACCCCGCAGCACGTCACAGAAAGGCCACGGCTGCTTCCTCCTGAGCAGGGTCTCCCTGGCCAGTCCCCACATCGCTGTTTACAAGTGGACTACCCTATGACGTTGGCCTTTTAGGAGATAGAATGCACACATTTCTTCTAGACATCACTGCAGTAACTTCCAGTTCAGCTGACAGCAGGTGCAGTGTGGCATCCTCAAGTGCATATGTGCACTTGGCACCAGCATCTTCATGATGTGGGGGAAATCCTTCCAGGTAGCAGTGTGTCTGAGGTGGTGAAGTGGCAGCGTGGTTGCCACCTGCCTCCTGTGGCGAAGACCTACCCCCTTACAGAGCTGTCTGGCATGGATGCCTTGGTGAAGTCTCAGGTCCTCAGGGCTGCAAGCTGCCCTCTCCCCCTCCCGGTGCCCTTGACTTTGATCTGGCCTTGTACTCCTGGTCTCCTCTCCCTAGCATGGCTACCTGGCTTGCAGACGCAAGTTTTAAGTGAGGACTGGAAAGAGCTTCAGGACCAACTATTTCTCAACACTTACATATGTGTAGTAAGAAGAATGATCCTTGCTTCAGTGTCCCCACACCCACAGTGAGTGTGGAGGGCTGGGGTGGGAGGCAGCCCCCAGGCCCACAAAGTGGCGTGATGAGCAAACCACTGAGGTTAAAGGGAGCACTCTTTGCACAGTTTAGAGCCACTGAAGGGGAAGAAAAAAGATGTCTTGTTTTCATTACCAGGAGATGTTTTGTTTACTAGAAGATACAGTCACTTCACATGGGCATAAGTGCCAGCTATTTTTTATCTCAACACTTTTGGAATTCTGCACAGGCACAACTCTAAGCTTAGTTCAGAAGTTCTTGCATCAGATAGTCCAGCACTCAGAGCTAGAGAAAGCCTGCCCCACGTGAGAGTGGCGTTGTCAAATGTCAGCCGTGTTTGTCAACAAGTGTCAAAGGGTGTGGCCTCCTGCGACTGGGCTGCTTGGAGGTGAGCCTCCTATGTTGCAGGAAGCAGTGTGCTGCCAGCCACGGTTCACAGGATGGTCGGTGCCACGCCACTGGCTTTGTTACCCCCGCCACGCCCCCAGTCGCCACAGCAGCTCCTCTTTGCTGGGCCACGTGGTTTGTGTTTATGGAGTAGCAGCTTCTAGCTGGATGTGTGTTTCGATGTTTGTAGCTGTAGAGCTGCCTGTTTTTCTGTTGAGAAATCTGGTCGATGCACTAAATTCAGCTTCCCTGCTGGTCCATCCTGACTACACACTGAGTAAAAGGAACATTGTGTATGTGTGTGTCCCACCTGTGGTCGCCATGTGTCCCAATTTCCCCAATGCTGGTCTCTATGGTTGTGAATATGTTAAATATCAATGCTGTACAAGTATTTTTGTGGAAATGTAACTTGTTTTGTGACTATTGGGATTATCATGAAATGAAGACTATTCTTGAAGAAAATTAAAATATTTATGCTTTGGATTTTCTTTAAGCACAAGTGTCTTGCTAAGCACTGTTTCCAGAGCCTGTGTGAAACACTTTGGGGACTGGGGTGGGTCCAGGGCCGTGCTGTCCCGCTGCTGGGGGTGTTCTCATGAGCATGTTGCTCCTCTTAGGAAAAAAATCATTTATGTGAAAGGCAGAGAGAAGGATTTTCCAGTCTCTGGATCACTTCCCCAAAGCCTAGGGCTGGGCCAGGCTAACCCCAGTGGGCAGGGCCTCCATTCAGGGTACCACATTTTCAGCAGGGAGCCAAGTACTTGGGGTGTCCTGCAGCGCGTTAGCAGGGAGCTGGATGGGAAGTGGAGGAGCCCCTCTGTCTCCTGACCATGGTGACTGGCAAGGTAGTACCAACTCTAGAGGAGTTGCTGAAAAAGCTCTTCAGAGCAATTTCTTTGAAAATGGTTGACCTTACGGTTGGTGTGTCAGCCCTGGTCATTGTACCTTTCAAATAAGTAAATCAAATAAGTAAAAAAGAAGAGAAAAATGTGGGTAGTTTTTCTGGGAAAACACTGTGCACCAGCAGAGGGCGCCCTTGCCCTTCCCAGCGGGACTTGGCTTGGAAGTGGATCTTGGTGAAGCAAAGCCCCAGAGCCTGCCAAGTGGTGACCCCAGGAACCTGGTGAGGTCTGGAAAAATCCCAGCCATCTCTGTTGACGAGGCTTGTCCGTGGCGGCTTCCTCTGAGTCAGACCCTACTTACACAAGTGTCGCTCCATTTCACAGTTAGCGTCTCTGTAGACACAGGACACAGAGTCCCCGAGGTCTTCACAGTGGGCAGATGAGGGACTAAACCGGGGCGTGGGGTGAGAGGTGGTGCCTGTGTGCTTGCTGTGTGGGGTGTGGTGATGGAGCGAAGTAGAGGCCTGCACTGTGTCTGGGCCCACGCCCACCCAGCACCTGCCGGGACATGAAATTCAAGGTGGAGAAGGAAGGGAGCCAGATAAGCCACTGAATGTGCTGTGCTTGACACTTCCTTTTCTTTATTTGTAAGGCAGAGAGACAGAGACCTGTCACTGCCTGGTTCACTCCCCGGTGCCTGTGATGTTCTGGGCTGGGCTGGCCGCAGCTCAGGAGCTGGGAGCTCAGCCTGTAGGACTCAGCTACTGGGGCCACCGCATGCTGCTTCCCAGGGCATGCCGTAACAGGAAGCTGGAATGGAAAATAGAGCCAGGACTCCAGCCCTGGCACGCTGGGATAGATGTAGTCCCAAGCAGCGACTTACCCATCTGCCAACCTCCTGTGCCCAGTGCAGTGCTTTTTTCAAATACAAGGTGTATTGATTTATTTGAAAGGCAGAGAAGAGAGAGAGCGAGCTTCCATCCATTAGTTTATTCCTCAAATGGCCCCAATAATCAGGACTGGAGTTAGGCTCAAGCCAGGAGACAGAAGCTCCATCTGGGTCTCCCACGTGGGTGACAAGGGGCCCAGGCACTTGGTCCACATCCACTGTATGGATAAGAAGTGCATCAGCAGGAGCTGGCTGGGAAGCAGGCCAGTGGGACTCGAACTAGCACTTTGCTATGGGATGCAGAGCAAGTGATGGAACCGCTGCCCAGGCTACTGCCTGCCCTGCAGGCCCTGCACACCTGTGGTCAACAGCCCCATGGAGAAGCCCTCCTAGGACACCAGCTGAGTCAGGGGGTCCCAGAAAGCTGGGGGAGAACCCAGGGTCTGGGCACAGGAAACTCCAAGTCCCACCTTCCCAGGCGCTGTGGGAGAGGCTAGTGGGAACAGGAAGGAACAGCAGCGAGGACCTGAAGGTACACGGAGGCCAGCCAGGGTCAAGGGCTGGGAGCAGTGCTGGCTGGAGGTGGTGGGGGGAGGGGAGCAGTGCTGGCTGGAGGTGGGTGGGGGGAACATTCCTGGGACTGTGTCCCACCTGCTGCTCATCAGGCTGGTGACTCATCTCCGGAGGACAAGAGCATGCCCGTGGCCATTGCAACATCTGGGAGTTTCCTGAGCTCAGTCCCTGTCATGACAGCAGCAATGGATGGGCCAGGGGCAGGGGGAGGGAAGACAGCCTGTTGCCTTCCCCCAACAGAGTGCAGGAAAGGCGAGACATGGCCCAGAGCTGGGCGTAGCTTGGAGGAGGCCTCCCTCTTCTCCACCTGGACCTTTTTGGAGAGAAAGTGGGAGCACGTGTCAGTGCGGGAATGGGGGATGCCGAGGGCTGTCAGCTCGTCTCCACCGTGAGTGTTCATGCTGTAGGGGCAGTCTGGACCTGCACTTGGCCCCAGAGTGACCCTGTTGACCTGATCCCCGGGAATGAAAACCGTGGGCCCCTCCCGCCCTGACGCAGCTGCTGCCTGAGCAGGGAGGGTGGTTGGCTGGGTCAGGAGGAGGCCAGGCTGTCCTGAGGCCGGCTGGCTTTTCTCCCTCCCTGCACCTGCTGCTTGGGCTTCGAGCCATGTGACAGGCACACCTTACACAGGTGTCTGACTCGGCAGAGGCTGTGTTTGCTGACTCCGGTGTCAGCCAGCCACATCTCCGGAGCTCGGCATACATCTTGCCTGAAGAAGGAACAGTTGGTTGCAGACTTTGCAAACGACTCTCATTTCTTTCTTTTTATTTTTTAAGATTTGTTTTTAATTTATTCAAAAGGCAGAGTTAGAGAGAGAGGAGAGAAGACACAGAGAGAATCTTCTACTCACTGGTTCACTCCCCAAATGGCTGCAAAGGCCAGGGCTGGGCCAGGCTGAAGCCAGCAGCTAGGCGCTTCTGGGTCTCCCACATAAGTGCAGGGGCCCAGGGACTTGGGCCAGCCTCTGCTGCTTTTCCCAGGTGGCAGAGGGCTGGAATGGAAGTGGAGCAGCCAGGACTCAAACTGGTGTTCATATGAGATACAGCATGTACACGGAGGCTTTGCCAGCTATGCCATAATGCTGGCTCCAGAAAGGAGCTTCTTAGGCCTCAAGTTTAGCACAGCTGAGCAAGAAAGAGCAGGTGTATCGAGGTCATTCACAGGAAGGAGGTGAGACCAGGCAATGCTTGAGGAAGTTCACCAAGCGACACGTGTCTGGTCAAGAACCTAGAAGGCGGGTGTGGCCACTCCTGACCCCAGCAGCCTGCTCGTGCAGCGCCTGGGAGGCAGTGGGGATGGCCACAGTGCCTGGGTCCCTGCCGTTCACTGGGCAGGCCTGGGCGGGGTTCCTGGTCCCTGGCTTCCACCCCAGCGAAACCCCAGGGCGTCGTCCTGCCCTCTGCTTCCTAAACAGGGCAGGAGAGACGGACAGGAAGATCTTCCGTCTGTTGTTTCACTCCCCAAGCGACCACACTGGCTGGAGCTGAGCTGATCTGAAGCCAGGAGCCTCTTCCGGGTCTTTCACGTGAGTGCAGGGTCCCAAGGCTTTGGGCCGTCCTTGACTGCTTTTTCCCCAAGCCACGAGCAAGGAGCTGGATGGGAAGTGGGGCTGCTGGGATTAGAAGCAGCACCCATATGGGATCCCGGCATGTGCAAGGTGAAGATTTTAGCTGCTAGGCTACTGTGCCGGGCCCCATGTGTTAGGTCTTAAGTTCATCTAAAGTTCTTACGTGGAACTAATTCCTGCAGCCGCATCCTCTTTTCACAAGCCAAAATGTAGCAAGTGCTTAGAAGGTCCTTTATTCCAGCAGGCAGGAACAGGGATGGGGGATGGAACGGGAGAGAACATAGAGGGAGATGTCTCCTGCCATGGTGGAAGGATGGGGGCATGGCTGCCAGGGCAGGAGGGAGGGCAAGATGGAGGACTGGGGAGAGCCAGGTAAAAAGGGACAGGAGGGGGACACACGTGGAGGTGAGCCTGGAAGGTGCAGGGGCGTGGGGATTGGGAGGCTGTGGGCGGGCCCCACGGGACAGGTGAGTGAGATCACTACAGGTGATTGGCAGGTGGGCGGGCATTAGGGGCGGGGCCGCGAGAGGACGGTGGGTGAGATTACATTTCATCCGTGGATAGCTGAAACAGCGTGAGGTTTGTGAGCTGTGGGAAAGGGGAGGCAGGAGGTGGTACCAGGTCCAAGATGAGATGTTCAAATCACTCCTCTCACCATGGCCCCCATCTTTGGTCTTCAAGTGTCCATCTGGCAAAACCCCAACTCCAGGGCAGACCACGTTTCAGCCTTTTGAGGTCTTTGAGCACTGTGGCAGAATCCCACTTCCCAGCTCCAGCCAGGCCCTCATGGCTCCGCCTGCTTCCTGCTTCCCTGCTGCCTTCTCTCTGCCCAGGCACCTGTGCAGCCCCTCGCCGTGTGCCAGATCCCCTCCAGTGCCCAGTCTCACCATCCCCATGCACGCAGTTGGCCTCTGGAGGCAGAACCGCTTTCCCTATTTTTATTTGGTCACCTGCTGGCTCTTCGGAATTGCACTTCTTCGCCTCTTCCTGGGCTCTGGGGCACCTGATGGTGGCAGTCACTTCTGTGTGAAGTTCTGCTGACTCTTGTCCCCACGGTGAGAGTTCCTGGAAGGCAGACCTGTTTGGAGGCTCAGCCTGGGCCCCTGGGGCGAGCAGGGCGCCAGGGCGTGGCGTGCTGCGAGGGCACTTGGGACCCCTGCGCTCACTTCCTGGCTTTGCATCCCCACACCGCCACCCCTCAAGACGGACTCAACACGCTGCGCTTAGCTGGGCCTCCCTCTCTAAGATGACCTGCTGAGTCAAAGCCCCTTCCCTGTTAAGGACGGGGTCTCCGGGTCTAGAGCTCACCGGGACTCTTGTAGAAGCCCCCTCTCCGCTGCTCTGCTCTGTCCCTAGCAGTTTGCGTGAGCGGGGAAAAAGATCGCAATTGCTGCTGGAGCAGGCACCCCATGCTCAATGGTTTACAACAGTCATCCCAGAGGCTGGAGATACAAACTCCATTCGAGGGGCTGAGGGGCGAGGGGCGCTGACAGGGCTGGTGCCTTGTGTGGCGCAGGACTGGGAGAAGCCGTGTCATTGACTCTTCTGGCCTCTGGAGGGCGCCCGCACCCTTGGGCCGGTGGCCGCTGCCTCAATGGGCCTTTGACTGTGCAGTCACGTCGCCAACTCCGACCCCGACCCTCCTGCTTCCCTCTCCTCAGGATCCTCTTCCCGTCTCAGGATCCTTAGTTTAACCACACCTGCAGAGCCCGGTTAGCACAAGAAGAAGCCTCCAGGGGCTGCAGGGCCTGGGAGTCTGTGGGTCAGCTTTGGTCTTCCCAATCAGGGAGGACAGAGAAGAAAGCCAAGCTTGGCTTGGCTCCCTGCTGCTTTAATTCCATCAGGAAACTTGGAAGATGTCTTTCTGGCGGGACGAGGCCATGGACGTGAGACTCCTGGGCGTGCATTGCTGGTACAGCTCCCCCAGCTTGGTCCTGAAGAGCTGGCCCACAAACACATAGATCACAGGATTCAGGCAGCTGTTGCTGAAGGCAAAGAAGTTGGACACCTGCAGGCCCAGGTCCATGAACTCCTCCCAGAAGCAGCCCCCGAGGACTTGTGCCTGCCACAGGCATTCCAGGAAGGCGAAGAAGTGGTACGGGGTCCAGCAGACCAGGAAGGAAGCCACGAGCGTGAGGATGAGCACCGTGCTCTTCCTGCCCTTGGGGCCCCCGCATCGTGAGCGCCCCACTTCTTGCCCCTGCCCCCGCAGGGCAGCCAGGATGTGGTAGTTGAAGAACAGGATGGCAGCCAGTGGGAGCAGGAAGCCCAACACGTTCAGTTCCACCATCCTCGCCACGTGCCAGCCTTTGTGGGGAAGCTGCAGGATGCAGGCGGAGATGTTCAGCTCTGGGACCATTTGGACAGAGCGCAGCAGGAACGTGGGGGTGCTCAGGAGGCCCCCCGTGACCCAGATGAGCGCACAGGTGGCCTGGGCCCGTCGGCGCCGCCCGTGCCGCCGGCTGGCCATGGGGTGCACCAGCACGGTGAAGCGGTCGTGGCTGATGGCCACCACCAGGAAGATGCTGACGAACAGGTTGGCCTTAATGACCCCGTTAACAGCGCGGCAGAGGGCGGGCCCGAAGGGCCAATTGAATCCATTCCAGATGTTCTCCGCCCAGAAGGGCAAGCCCAAGACAAACAGCAGGTCGGAAGCCGCCAGGTTGACCAGGTAGGTTTCTGCCACGCTTAGTCGGCGCCGGCAGGGCAGGAGGAAGACAGACAGGACAAAGGAGTTGCCCAGGAGTCCGACGATGAAGATGGCGATGATGACGGTGGGGAGGACTCGGTGCAGGAAGTCCCAGGCATCCAGCGCGTTGTTGCAGGATGTGGCGTTCGAAGGGGAGGACTGGCTCAGGTTGGAGAACGGGAGCTCGACGGGCGTTTGCGACGCCATGCGCTGTGACCTGAAAGGGACAGCGTAAGGAGTGACAGGAGGTGGGCAGCTCCTGGCGGCACCCATGTCGAACAGCAAAGCTTTACTGGCACATTTGCTTGTCCTCTTTGGCTGCCAGCGCCCATGTGTCAGGTGCTGCTGACACAGGCTCAGTCCCTGCTCCCACGTGCCAGCAGCCGACAGAATGGAGATCTGTCGCTAAGCACACCTGCAGGTGGAAGCTGCCGTCAGACCCCAGGTATGCCCTTCATGCTCTTATTTCACTGGGTGTGAGGAAGGGGCCCTTGGATAATTTTAAAGAAGATTTATTTATTATTTTATAGTAAAGGGAGATCTACAGAGAGAAAGAGAGACAGATCTTCTATCTGCTGGTTTAGTCCCCAAATGGCTGTAACGTCCAGAGCTGAATCATTCGAAGCACAGATCTGTGTGTCCCATGTGAGTTCAGGGTTCCAAGGCTTTGGGCTGTCCCCTGCTGCTTTTCCAGGCCAAAATCAGGGAGTTGGGTGGAAAGTGGAGCAGCTGGAATACTAACTGGCACCCATATGGGATCCCAGCAGTTGGAGGTAGAGGATTAGCTGGAGGAGACATTGACCAGTCCTGGATGGTGCCAGTCTTGAGCCTGGCACGTGGAGGCACGACACCTTTTCCGACTGAGCGGAAAGGGGACCAGGACTGGCTTTGTTCAGCTTGGGATATCTGCAAGTGGGCGATGACACATCGGGGTCCTGTGCTCAGGGACAAGCTGTGGGGTGAGGACACATCCGGGATGCTGGAAGCCGCAAGCTGGGATGAAACCAGCCAGGAAAAGCGGAGTCGGAAGCTGGGCGGCCAGGGACGTGCCACCAGGAAACCTGAGACGCCAAGGCCAGAGGCCACGGAGAACCAGCACAGCGCCTCTGCAGCAGGCCTGGGGTGTTACAGGGCGTGAACCCACAGCTGTTCGTTTATTTGATTGTTTGGCAATATTTTCCATTTTGCAATACCCCCTTTCTGGCTGTGACTGAGCTAAAGCACAAATATTGAGTGACAATTGCAAGTGCTGAGCTTCTCAAGGAAGCTGATGACGAACATGCGGTTTGCATGTTTATATCGCCACGATTTCATCAACTGCAAGACATCCTGAGACACAGGCTGTTCCTTTGGAACTGTTTTCAATGAGATACAATGCAACTTGCATCCCTGCTTCCAAATCAGGGATGGACGTGGGCCATAGCTAGACAATGGGATGCTGGACTGTCTGACATTGTCTGTACCAGCAGTGTCTGGGCACACTTAAATAACAGACTGATGGGCTTATGACTGCTTATGAAGGTCTATACTGTTATAATAATATGGCGAAAATCAGTTGGGGTGTGGGAGTTTTGAGGGGGTGGAATCCCAAACTATAGAATTGTGCCATGAAGTTCAACATTACAAATGCTAGTTTATTCCCAAACGGTCAGGAACTTCATCTGTGTCTCCCACATGAGTGCAGGGGCCAAACACATGGGCCATCTTCCACTGCTTTCCCAAGCACATTAGTAAGGAGCTGCATTTTCCACAGAGCAGCCGTATGGATGCTGGCAGTGCAGGCAGAGGCTTAACACACTACATACACTACAATGCTTTTTTAAAAAAGAGATGATTTTTTTTTTAAATGTAGAGTTCCAAAGAGGGAGAGAACATAAGGGAAACCTTCCACTCAAGGACTTACTTCCCCCAAATGGCCACAACAATTGGGACTAGGCCAAAATGAAACCAAGAGCCTAGGACTTGAGCCTGGGGGTCTCCCATGTGGACACAGGAGCCCACGCGCTTGGGACACCTTCTGTTACTTGCCAGCTGTATTAACAGGGGGCCAGCTCAGAAATGAAACAGCCAGGACACGAACTTGCACTCATGTGCGGGGCTGGTGTTGCGGGCGGTGGTTCAACCCACTACACCGGCCCCCAGAGTTGCTCATCTAAGTTTGTGCTGCGAGACAGGTGGGGACGACAGAAGCGGTTATCACAGGCGAGCGACACACAGCTTCTCCTGGCCCCGCCGGTTCTGTGTGCGGAGGTGTGGCACGTGATGGCTGGCTGCGCACGGCTCTGTGTGAAGAACCTGCCAGACAAGAGGGAGGTGCTGTGTGCCTCATCCTCAGAGGCTTCAAACGGGAACATCGGTGGGTCGTGTGCTTGTCGCCCATTTGGCCCACCGACCCAGGGCAGAGCTTCCAGGAGCACATGCCAGTGAAATGAAGCAACAACCCTTATTTAAATTCCATGTCAAGTTGTTCCCGGTGTTGGCTTGATTTGGGAATATTATAAATGCACATGCGGCTAGGGCATCGCGTTCATACTGAACTGAGAATCAAGCAGCTGTCATTGGAGCAGGCTGTGGTACACACCTGAGGACAACTGCATTTAAGTTTCAAAATTCCACCAGCTGAAAGACATGTTGCATTTCACTCAACTGGTAAAATTGTAAGCGCACAGACTTACTCAACTGTTGGTGTTTTTGGACATTCACTGTGAAAGCGTTGGGAAAGATCACTGTGTTGGCTGCACTTTGTTCTCAGTGAGCTAGGACGCATTCACCAAGCTTCCCGGCAAAGGGCATGAAGACAGCTCTCCGTCAGCAGGCGTCATCGAGGAGAAAGCTCACACTCAGAATGCGAGTTTCCTGCTGGGGCTATGGGCAGGGGGCTGATGAAATCATGAGAACTGGGGCTGGTCTTGGGGCACAGTGAGCTAAGCTGCTGCCTGTGACACCTCTGTCCCTTAAGACTGCCATGCTCCTGTTCACGTCTCCACTGTTCCACGGCTGGTCCAGCTCCCTGCTACTGCACCTGGGAAAACAGCCAACGCTGGCCCGGGTACTGGCCCCTGCCACCCTGTGGGAAATCCACATGGAGCTCCTGGCTCCTGGCTTCCAGCCAGTCCAGCCCCAACCACTGCAGCCACTGGGGAGTGAACCAGCAGATGAAGTTCTCTCCCTTTTGCTCTGTGTCTTCCATTTTCTAACTCTGCCTTTCAAATACATAAATAAATCTTACAGAAATGATGCTTAAGATTTAACTTTTGAAATTTCATGATGAGCCCTGGACTATCTCAAGTTGAGGGAAGAATCTTTGATTAAATTCAAGCTCTGTAGACAATAAAGTAGGATTGAGAAAGCCTATGATTTGTAGCATCTAACTATGAAACACAATATAGCACAAACATAGCACAATAGCTATGTTTTCTTTGGCAGCATGTTTGCTGAACAAAGGAGCCACACACAGAGGGATAAAGACAGCACCCATGGGTGCAGTGGCTAAGACACTGCTTGGGACACCCCGCAAGCAATGTCCAAGTGCCTGGGTTCCGGCCCCAGCTGCACCCCTGCGGCCAGCTCCCTGCGCATGCGCACCCCAGGAGCCAGCAGGCTGTGCTTCGGACACTGGGTCCTGACACCCACGTGGAGGGCTGACCAGAGAGCCCGGCTCCTGGCTTCAGCTGAGTCAGATCCGGCCATTGTGGGTGTGTTTGGGAGTGAATCATGGATGGGAGGTCTCTGTTTCTATCTCTGCATTTCAACTAAATTTTTATTTAAAATTTTTTTAAAAGATTTATTTTTATTGGAAAGTCAGATATACAGAGAGGAGGAGAGACAGAGAGGAAGATCTTCCGTCTGATGACTCACTCCCCAAGTGAGCGCAACGGCCGGTGCTATGCCGATCCGAAGCCAGGATCCAGGAACTTCTTCCAGGTCTCCCACGTGGGTGCAGAGTCCCAAGGCTTTGCGCCATCCTTGACTGCTTTCCTAGGCCACAGGCAGGGAGCTGGATGGGAAGTTAGAACTGGTGCCCATATGGGATTCCGGTGCGTTCAAGGCGTGGACTTTAGCCTCTAGGCCACGCTGCTGGGCCCTCAACTAAAATTTTTAAAAGTAGTTTTTTTAAAAAAGAGAATCTACGAGCATGTCTGAGAGGAAATGTTTTCCAATACCACACGCCAAGAATTTGTCCAGAGCTTAACGTGTGTGTCAGCGCTTGCAAAAGAGCCTTCTCAACTCAGCGTGTTGTCATTTTACAACTCTGTTGATGCAGTGTAACCAATTCTTAATGCATGTGTATCTATACAGCTACTGCACCTATGTTTCCATCTGTGGTTAGATATATACATTCGTATGTATCACACACTATTTGTTTGAAATAGCTCAGATGCAGAGAGAGACAGAGATCTCCCATCTTGTCCATATGTTGGTTTATTCTCCAAATGCCTATGCCAGGACCAGGCCAGGGCAGAGCCAGGAGCCTGCAGTCCTGCATGGTCTCCCAGATGCCTGTTTCAGCCAGGGCCGGGCCAGGGCAGAGCCAGGAGCCTGCTGTCCTGCATGGTCTCCCAGATGCCTGTTTCAGCCAGGGCCGGGCCAGGGCAGAGCCAGGAGCCTGCAGTCCTGCATGGTCTCCCAGATGCCTGTTTCAGCCAGGGCCGGGCCAGGCAGAGCCAGGAGCCTGCAGTCCTGCATGGTCTCCCGCATTGGTAACAGGCATTCCGACAGCTGAGCTATCGCTGCTGCCTGCCAGGGCAGGGGTTATAGTAACAGGATGCTGGGTTGGCCGTGGGCCAGTCTTGCCTAAGCTCCACCGGGAGATTCGATGAGGCCACCCGCAGTCTCACCATGTCTGCTGCCCCTTCACTACCCTCCCATATCTCTGGGACACTTCTCAAACTTCCAGGCAAAACTGTCCTCACCCCGACTCCTCTATGCTCAGATCCTTGCCTTCTTCTCGTGGGAGGATGGACCCTCTGATCCCCTCTGCAAGCATGGGGACACAGTCTTAGGACCGGGAGAGAGCCTGCCCACGGTCACCTGGCCGGGTGAGCCAGAGTGCTTGTGTGTGGTCTTCTGAGATCTGCTCGCAGCACTGGACCTTGCTGAAAATGGCAGAGGCTGCAGAGACAGAGAATGGGCCTACAGTCAGGCGACTTCCTGAAAGCCTCAGTGTTCTTATCTGTGAAATGGCCTGCTTGGTACTCATTGCCAAG